TTCCCTGGTTAGCACATGAGCCCTACAGCAAATTTTTTAGAAAAATGTTTGGAAAATATAAAATTATATGAAAAAGAATGTAAAACTTACTACTTACTACCCAGACACATAATGATAAATGTATCTATTGCTTTAGTTCCAGCATCATTTTCAGTTATATTACTTTATCTGACCATAAACATAATACATGTTTTCATAGGAATAAGTCTTTTTTTCTTAATAGTATTTTTATACATATTAAAATTTTTATTCCAGAAAGACAACAAGGGAAATTCTTTTGTTCAACTTACTTTAGAAATATCTATATCCTAGCATATAAAATAAAAATAGATAATTTACTTATCATTTATATATAATCTCTAATTGTGAGGTACATTAAGTTTTTTTGTTATTATTATTTTAATTTGTTGTAGGACATATGCAATCACCAGAGAGAGAGAGAGAGAGAGAGAAAGTAAGAATGCAAACCGCCAGGTCCAGGACTTGAACCTCAGTTGGCAATGTGGGAGTCTAATGCCTTAACTACCACATCGTAAGCTAGAATTTTAAGTGAGTAACATACTGATTAGCCACTGCTGATCTTTGAGGTACATTAGGAATGAGATTCCTCTGGGGAGGCTAGTCAGTAAGACTTTATGTGGGAAGAACATTAATTGAATTTTCAATTAAGTCTGAATAAATTGATGCTGACCAGTAAAAAGCAAAGATATCTGAGACAGGTAAGGGTATAGGAGACTGGCTTAGATATGGCAGATCATTCCTACTGGAGACTTTTGAGCCAAGCCACCTGGAATACATTTGAGGTAAACATTTGGTGGAAGATTCTAAATATGAGGCTGTTTAAACTTTGTGCACACTTTTGCATATTAGAAAGGTGTGTTCTTTCAACAGCATATTTGAGTCAAATCAGAAAGAATATACAACACTTTCCACATTTAGATTATTTTACAATTTAAGAGAAATATTTTATTACATGATAGTGTGACAGTGCATTCAACATTAATTTTTTTATTGAACTGTAATACCTAATATCTATAGGCAAGTACCTATAAATGTACTGCTTGGCAAATTTTCACAAACCTGTACAATTCACATCCCGATGACATGACAGCATTCAAGTACCCCATGAGTCCTCATGCCCCAGAGTATTTTTGTGCTTTATAAAATAGAATCATTTTGTGTGTTTGCTTTTGTTTTGGGGTCATTTTACTCAGTATTATACTTGCTAAATTATTCTGTATTACGGCATAGCTATAAATCACTCATTCTCATTGTCTGTTAGTAGCCCGTTGCACATAAATATCCTGCAGTTTGTTATCCATTCTACTAGTTTAACTTCTGGGTCCTGTTGATACTAGTGCGGGATATTAGTCCTGTTTATATTAATACCCACTACCAAGTGGCGTCCTAGGATGTTTGTATCCATTTGCACTCTTATTAGCAGTGTATAAGAGTTCTGTTCTCCATAATGTTGCTAACTTTTGGCATTTTCCATTGTTGCTTTCATTTTAGCCATTCTGGTAGATATATAATGGTCCTGCATTGTTGTTTTAGTTTGCATTTACTTGATAGCCAATACTGCTGACCCCCTTTTCATTTGCTTATAGACCATTTGAACACTCTCATAGTTAAATTTCTTGTCTCTGCTCATTTTTATTAGCTTGTCTGACTTTATTGTACTACTTTGTTGAAGTTCATTTGATATTCAGATATTAGACATCTTACATTTTTTCTCAAAGAAGGTCTTCTGGATTTTTCTAAGAATATAACGAGTTTCAGAAACTGAAAGTCTTTCACAGAAAGGAGCTACTAATCTATTTTGCATAATGATTTCTTTATATATTTCATGATAGCCATTTGCCTGTCTCAGATTTTATGAGTGATCCATTTCCGGAGCAGTAATAACTGAGTTGCCAGCCACAATAATATTGTGTTTTTTTTTTTTTTTTTTTTTTAAACAGATGACTATTAATGAAGACTCGGTTGCAACTCATCTTACAAAAATCCTCAACTCGGATGAGCATGCAGTGATCATATCGTCTGCCAAGTGAGTCAGGGAATAGTTACATTGGGAAAATGAAAGAAAGGTTGCTTCCTACCATAGCATCATTTGTCTTTGATTTTTCTTTTCAAAACCTGCATGTGAAGTAGCTTATACACTTAGAGATACTAATTTTTTAGTTTATTTAAGAAAAAAATCACTAGCATCTTATTTACAGTGGAGTATATTTACAGAGTATATTAAATTAAATGTTTTGTTTGGAATATTTCTGTTAAAATGGTATAATAAGAGTTTAGTTCATCTAAATGTCTATTTTAGGAAGTATTTATGATTCATTATAATATAAAAACTTTCATTATAATATATTATTTCCATAAATACTACTATGTTGGAGCTATTTACATAAGTAAAGGGAAAATAATTATAAGGTTTTTCAAAATGATACTTCTCAGCATGTTTAAATTGCATAATTATATTTTAATTCCAGGTTATCAGATTTTAGTTAAGTTGATTTTATAAATGGAATCAAAGCTACTTGATGTTATTATCCCAAATGTTGCCTGGCTGGAATTTGGAATTTAGTCTGAAAGCATCCTATGCTGTTAAGTCAGCCAAAGGAAGGGGGTGCAACCAAGTGAAATTTTCAACTTAAAGCAAAAGGCTTTAAGATTCTGTCTTAGGGGAACCAGCAGTTAGCGCAATGGCTATGTCGCTGGACTCCCACGTGGTCGACCGCGGTTCGTTTCCCGGACCCAGTGGCTTAAAACTCATGCCGGGCACATGTGCGTGCGTGCCCAAGATTCTGAGAGGAGAATGGAGGAGAAGGGATTGCGGCGTGACCATCCCCCCTAGGGGGGTGATTTTTTGCTTTCTGTCTCTATGTCTCTGTCTGTCTGGCAAGCGCATGTGCCCTATAGTGAAAATCTCTCAAAAAAAGATTCTGTCTTAGAAAGTGAATATTACTATCATGCATCAAGAGAGAAAAAGAAAGGGAAGAAGGAAAGAAAGGTAGGACAAAAGAAAATACTCAAATTTTAGTGTATTGTGTATTTAGTTGCAATGAAATCAAGGAAAGATAAGATAAATCATTATATAAACAAATTTTCCTGGGACCAGCAGTTAACATAATGGCTATGTTGCTGGAATCCCATGTAGTCGACCACGGTTCAAGTCCCGGACACGGCGGCTTAAACTCACACCGGGCGTGTGTGAGTGTGTTCCCAAGATCCCGAGAGGAGAATGGAGGAGAAGGGATTGCGATGTGGCCATCCCCCCTGGGGGGTGATTTCTCCCTTTCTGTCTCTCTGTCTCTCTCTGTCTTTCTGGCGAGCACACATGCCCTATAGCAAAAACCTCTGAAAAAAAAAAAATGATGTGCTCTTATAGAACATGCTGGAAGACATGCTAGAAAAGATGGAAAGTTGAAATGGAAGCTTTTTAAGGTATAACAAGTTCAAAAGAATTATTCTTTAATAAAATCAAGTAAATATTTTATCTGTTCATCTTTTATAGTTTGAACGTTAGCAAAGCCTTCATATTAACCTTCATGTGTTTGATGACTGCCTCCTATACAATTTATATTTTAATTAAATGGAATACATATTAGAAAATTTGGACAGATGAAATAGGATTCTTAGAACAGCCACCTCTTTCTCTCCCTATTGTTTTTAATATTAATCCCTGTCTAGTATAGCATTTTCACTCATGGAAACCTTTCTTTCAAATAAAATTTACACAGCATCCTAAAAAATTAAAGTTTTATTTTGTTGGTGTTAATAAATTGGATAGGATTGAATTATTAAAATTACTTATAAGGAAAAAAAAAGATACAAGGCAAAAACTAGTCTTATATTCAATGAAGTTTCTAATTATTTATTTTATTTTGGTTGCATGATAATTAAGGAAATTATTTTCTTTTTTAAAAATAATTATTTTATTGAATTTTATTTATTTAAAATTGACCAGAGAGAGAGAGAGTAAGCAAGAAAGCAAGCCACTAGGTCGAGGACTCAAACCGTGGTCAGCCATGTGGGATTCCAGTGCCCTTAACCACCATGCCACCTGCTGTCCCCAGGAAATTTTTTTTTTATTTGCACACACATATGCCCAGTGTGTTGTTTTGTTTAATTATTTTATTTAACTTTATTTATTTATTTACTTTTTTTTTTTTTAATTTAACCAGAGAGGGACAGAGAGAGAGAGTGAGAAAGGAAGCCGCCAGTCTGAGACTCGAACCATGGTCGGCCATGTAGGAGTCCAGCACCCTTAACCACCATGCCACCTGCTGACCCCAGCCAGGAAATTACTTTCAATTAAGTAAAAATTGCATAAGATGCTTTAGTTAAGTATTTGCACAAACGCTAGTGAATTATAAGTAAAAGTTAACATAGTATTTGTCTATAATGATTCTAATGATTATTTGAGCATTTATAAAATTATATGCTTTTCTGAATGTAAGTTGAATCAAGTATTTGTAGAATCCTTAAGGTATTTTTGGAGAATAATTTGAAAACCACTGGAATAATCCACAGTGTTGTACTAAGTTAGAGTAAATCTGGAAGGAAATTAGACATTTCCTTGCTTTGTGCTCTGTGTCTGCTTTTATAAGACTAAGAATGAAAAGAATGCCCATTAGTCTTCCATCATTGAAATTTTAGGAGAATTTATCTGAGTAATCACGTAAATCCAGACCTTATAAACTATATAAAGGTCTATATTAAATTATAGTATCACCACCTCATGTTTTATCCAATTACATTTCAATTTTTTTCTTTGACCTTAGTCTGGCTCCTTATCTAAGGCTGCGTGCCTAGCCCTACCTTTGGGTTTCTCCCCAGCTGGCTCACTTGCCCGTAAGCAGATCCCATTTCCATCCTGGTCCCTCATTGTCACTCTGCTGTGCTCCCAGACCTGCCTGGATGCCCAGCCTTTACATCTCCAAATTAAAATTCTGGGAGGCTTTGTCAAGAGACGAAAAAGGAGGATAATATGTAATAGCTTTATACCAGTAATACAGTATATTCTTAATTTTATTTATATGGATATTTTGAAACATACGTAAAAGTGAAGAGACTGTATAATGATTTCCCAATACATTTATCACTGAGCTTTTGTATTTCTCAACATTTTGCTATCTACACCCCACTTAGTTTTACTGTGGTATCTCTAATCAAATCCCAGAATCATTTTATTCCAGTTTTGTATAATATATAATAGTATGTATAGTATAAATAGTACAGGATAATCCTTTTTTTAATCAAATAAACTTAATAATAATTCTCTAATGTCATAACTATTAGTCAATCCTTATTCCATTTCCCCCAGTTATATTGAAGGATTTTTTTTAAAGATTTATTTATTATCATTATTTTTTCAATTTGACCATAGAGAGACAGAGAGAGAGAGAGAGAAAGTGAGAAAGCAAGCCAGCAAGCAGCCAAGTCCAGGACTCAAACTGTGGTCGGACATGTAGGAGTCCAGTGCCCCTGACCACCACGCCACCTGCCAGCCCAAAGTTTTATTTTTTTAAACATGATTTGTTCACATCAAAATCCAAATAAAGTTCACATATTTGCATTTGAGTGATATGTCTCTTTAAGACTTTTAAAATCAATGATTTCCCCCTGCTTTTTAAAGTGCTCAGATCACAAGGGTACAACTCACTGATTTAAACACACACAGAACACACACACACACACACACACACACACACACACACATACACATACACACACACCCTTGCAACCAGCACCTAGATAAAGAATTCCCTTCCAGGGCTAACAGCAGATGGCATGACATTTACATCACTGGATTCCCACATGGTCCACCGCCGAGCTCCAGACCCGGTGACTCGAAACTCACATGAGTACATGTGCGTGCGTGCCCAAGATCCCGAGAGGAGAATGGAGAAGAAGGGATTGTAGCGTGGTCATTGCCACCCCTGGAGCCCCCTCTCGCTGTCTCAGTCTCTGTCTCTTTCTTGGGTGAGCACACACACCCTAAGGCAAAAACATCTACTGAAAAAAAAAATTCCCTTCCTTTGTTAATACCATTTATTTATTGAATAATACAATACTAAAGCAAAATGTTTTAACCTTCTTAGGCATGTTTTATTTCCTTAATTCAATAATAAGCCCCAGTACCCTGTTTTTAACTGTTTTTAAGATGTTAAAGTGCTTATGGAAAAGCTGTATTCATTAGCATAGCTAATATGTAGGTTAACTAAATGTAGTTAAAAAGTTAGGCTAACCTAAAACTTGGTTTGAAATTTCATCAATTCAGTATAGTAACAGGAGGTATCTTTTGAGAATAACACTCCCTTACTAGCAATCATAGATGACATTTTCTAATAAAAATGAAAAACGAGTTATTAATTAAGTTGTTTTTACGTGTAAAAGATATGTCTTGATTTTCATTTTGCTAGTGGTTTTTAAATGTTACTAGTTTTTTTTTTTTACTCACTCATTCTACTCACCTTACTTTTTAAAAAAGATGCAGTCTGTTCTGTATGTAGAGCTTCAGAAAACGGGAAAGTAGTAATATTGGAACCATTATCATAGAACCATTGAATTGAATTTGGTATCTACTTTTGAAATAATTCTGGCAACCCATTCATGAATAAATGAGATGAGGAATATGGTTAATAGAAATATTTTGTCAAGAACAAAGATCTTGTGTTTTTTTATATAGGATGCATTATTTTTTTTTATAGACATTTTTTGCTATAGGGCATGTGTGCTCGTGGAGAGACAGAAAATGAGAAACCACCCCCCCAGGGGGAATGACCACACCAAAATCCCTTCTTCTCCATTCTCTTATTAAGATTTTGGGCATGCACGCACATGTGCCTGATGTGAGTTTTAAACCGCCAGGTCCAAGACTTGAACCACAGTCAACTGCATGGGAATCTAGTGACATAACCATTATGCTGTCTGCTGGTCCCTCTATGAGAGAGAGAGAGAAGGGAAAAGATTGAAGCAGGCTTTTCTTTTCTTTGAAAGGATGTCATTGTGTTGTGATGTGCATGTCCCAGCTTCCCAATTAACTCGGAGTTTGGGATATACAGCTGCATTCAGTGTGCTCAGGTTGCCCTGGGAACCAGACCTGGGACTCCCATATATGTGTTTCAACTTTCAAGAGGTTGCAGTGCGCATGCACCACTGTGGTTGGACCTACCTTTACATTCTAAATGGAACATTTTATTTGAGATGAAAAAACAAAATTTTGAGATTCTCATTTGATTAACCTTCTTGCCAACTTATGGTTTTGTTTGGGCACCATGGCCATAGTTACCTTTTAAAAAAAAAAAATCTGGTTTTTTTTCCCATGGAAAATAGAGTCAGAGAGAGAGAAAGAGAGACAGACACCCCTCCCCCCACAACAGGATCTTCATGCCACCATCCACCCCCAGTCTCAGCCGACCTGGATCACTGGCATGCTCATGTGAGTCCAGTGTGTTCAGGAAGGTCCCCGGATGTGAACCCATGACATTTCCCTGTGGATCCAATTGCATTACCACTGTGTCACCTCCTGACCTACATCATTATCATGCATATTTTATTGTATTTTGCTTCCATTTTTAAAAATAAGTGGAAAACTGGTAAATGAAGGCACTGATGCAATGATAGGTATATATCTCATAAATATGTGTAATTGATATGATGGTAACGATCATTAAGGATGTTACGTATAGACAGTTGGCCTCAAATGAGTATATATGTTGTGCACATTTGACTATGTTCAACTGTGAAGGAAGAGAACAAAATTAAGAAAATAAAATGATAGAAACATCAAATGCTCTTACATTAATTAAATATGTAATTAGGAATTTATATTTTTTGTTGCTTTGTGGGGAAAAAAATCTATATTCCATTCTCATTTATTTGAATTGTTACATTTTATGGAATTATTTATGTATGGAGTGGAAAACTGCATAGTTGGAGACAGTCTTTTTGTTACTATAGTAAATACACATACATCTTACATATTTTCTCTAATATGCAAGTTCCCACTTAGTGTAACTTTGAAAATATGCTATTTTTAAATATATATTTTATTTCTATTTTTAAAATTTTATAGTCACTCTTTAGGTGTACTAAATATCCTGTATTCCTCCAGAATATAAATACCCTATATTCTTTCTGACATATAGAACTTAATGGGCTATTAATACAGAATATTCCTTCTGATTATTCTCACAACTTATGTGACAAGCATTCTCCTACCCTTTATATCCACATTTATCGGCTCTCTCTCTCTCTCTTTCTCTCTCTCTTTCTCTCTCTCTAAAATCACTTTTCTCTTCCATAAATAAGAGAGACAGAAACGGTATCCCCAATAGGTTCTTGATACTGTGACCCATCCACAGCTTCAGTCAGGCACCGGTCACGGACATGTATGTGTCAGTCTACTCAGCTGTGTCTCCAGACCAAACCTGGAAACTCCTATGTGGGTCATTCTCACAGAGCATCATGATTTACTTCTGTGCCAACACCAGAGAGACAGAAAGCGAAAAATCACCCCCCGGGTGGATGGCCATGCTGCAATCCCTTCTCCTCCATTCTCTTCTTGGGATCATGGGCACGCACGCACACGCGTCTGGCGTGAGTTTAAGCCATCGGGTCCAGGACTCAAACTGCAGTCGACCACATGGGAGTCCAGCGACATAGCCATTATGCTAACTGCTGGTCCCAACATCTGACCTTTTATCAGCTGTCTTGGCTGCAGGTTTTGCAAGATCACATGTCTCCTTCTGCCTGTCTGCCTCAGCAAGGTGGCCCAACTGAGGAGAGTCACCTCTGCTGCCCTCTTCTTTTCCAGGGCTGATGGACTGAAGGGTTCTCTCCTTAGTAAAATACCAATAAATGTGGCTGTGATAATATTATCTCCTGGCCCCAGTGCTATGATTTTTTAATAGTATGATTCAATCGGTATAAGCCTTGACTTAACTCAAGATAGTCCTATATTAGGTTGTCAGTAAAGTCATGACTATTTTTCTGTTTTTCTGTGCAAAAGTGCATCATGGCTTTCCCAATGACCCCATACCATATTGATTTTACTTCAACAGCAGATCCACAGACAGAGATTTAGTTAATGTTTCGGATCCTTTCTTTCTTTTTCTTTTTATTTTTTTTAAGTTTATGTTTTTCATGAGAGAGAGAGAAAGGCAGGCACCTTGAAGAGGATCTTCAATTGTGATCCTTCCCCAGCCTTCCCAGCTAGCCAAGATCACAGGAGCCTATCGACCTCCTGTGTGTACAGGTTGACCAGGGAACTGAATCCCTCTCTCTCATATGAACCTAGCATCGCAGTGTGGCCCACCACCCCTGCACCATGGTAGCTGGCCCACTTCTCTTTTCTTTCTATTGCAAAGAAACCAAATGTAATTTAAAGAAACAACCAAGTAAACCATATGTTGCTGACACTAACAAGACTTGAATTAACTTAGTCCTGTGTGTTACTACATTGGTTATCTTAAGGGGAAAAAATTGAATAGATTTGCAGAGAACAAATTGAATCCAGGTAGCAGGTTGGTTTCTAACAAAATACACGTCTTTCCTCTTCAGGGACAATATAGTACTAAGATACCCAAATGATGAATAATAGATGTAACAACCTAAGTGGTAATCTTAGCTTTGTTTGTTCAACTCTGAACATTCTGTTAGAAAAATATATGAGCTGCAGGAGAGAATGCTTTTTTTTTTTAATGAGATCTAAAAGTATTCTTCTTAAGAATTTGGCTATTCGTAAAAGGCTTGTGAAAAGTACTATTATATAATTATGTAGACAAGGTTTATTCATGGATGCATTTATCAGTGTGAAAGTCTTGAACTTATCCAAGACATGTAACACAGTGGAAAGAAGTGTGGATGTGTACAGACGATCGAGATATTTTGACAATTTGCCTCCTGGTGGTTATTTTTAAATATGCTTTCAAATCAAAGCTAATTGTTAAGTCTACTGACTCATATATATATATTTTTTTCCCTCACAGAGTACTGTGTGACACTGTAAAGGACTTCGTTGCCAAAGTCGAGAAGACATATGACAAAACGTTGGAAAATACTGTTGTAGCTGATGCTGTGGCCACTAAAGTAAGGAGGACACTTCACTTCCGAGCAGGAAAGTTGTTTCCTGACAGTGTTACTGTGTGCCTAGGTTTTAAAGAGAAACTGAATTGGTGATGCTCTTTGCCAGGTATCTCAAATCAAGAGGAAAATTAACTTTTGAGTCAGATGTAAAGATCTGAAAAATATTCTACTTGCTGGTTACCCTTTATAATATAGGAAACCTGCATTGCTGAAAATGATACAATCAGCTGAATTTCTTGACACAAATCCACTTCCCAGTGACTGACATCTTGTGACATCTTGCAGGCAGGAAATGCTCTGTTCTCGGACTACAGGGTTCTCCCTGCTGTGTGGCCAGTGTTCCAGATGAGAGAGGAACTGCTTTTTCTATTTTCAGGCAAACTTTGTCCGGTCAAGCTCTCTCCCAGTACTGATGTCCTGGATTCTCTAGATTTCACCATCCTTTATCTCTTCCAGAGTTTTGTTTTCTGTATTGTCTTTTTCTTCACAGATGTTTCTTTTCCTCATCCTGAACTTTCTGATGCCAAAATAAGAACAGGTTACTGAATTGTAAAAGCTACTGTCTTTGCTTTCTTAAGTTCATAACAGGGCATTCTTAGGAAAAGTATGACTATCTTGGGGCTTGCAAAGGAATTTGCTCCCCTAGATTCATACTATAGATGGTGATTTAATTGAGTAGAAAGAAAAGAAAATTGGAAAAAAAAAAAAAAGTGAAAATTTTCCACTCTTTGTCTTGTCTTTCTACTCTGTAGAGAAGCTCAGATCCTCTATGACCAGACTTTTGTCTCTAAACTAAGTATTTCTGCTGTAATTTCGCCTTGTTTCGCCATCAAAGATGAATAGACCAAGGAGGAAATGACTGGAAATTATGTGGAGATGAAAGGTCTATTGGGGGCAGCATCAACAGCTTCAGTCCTAAATGAGGGTTGTTCAGTCCTTTGCAAACCAATGCTTCATAACTGAGCTTGCCAAAATTCAGCCAGACCTTTAGTTTATGAGACTCAGAATGGTGTTAAAGTCAATTGCATGAAAACGGTTTGTCTAATTTTTTAAATGGTTTATTTCATTTTAATTATTATTGTTATTATTTTTTATTTGACTGGAGAGAGAGAGAGAAAGGGGAAGTGAGAAAGCAAGCCACCAGGTCTGAAATTCAAACTCTGGTCAGCCACATGGGAGTCCAGTGCCCCAGCTACCACGCCACTTGCTGACCCCTCTAATGTTTTTTCTAATGTATAGCAAATTTTGTATAAAACATTATTTTTTTGTATGTAATGTGTCACTTTATACTGACATGTGTTCTTTTAAAGAAAAGTAGCCATGTAACAATGATTGTAAAGATTTTTACCCACAGAATGGAATGTGAGTGGTTCTGGAAGTATAAATCAATGACTTTGCATAAGAACTGTGTTATTTTTTAAAATTGTAAAGGAATTAGTTTATAGACCTGAAGGACAAATTACAGAAGATAGCCAGATTAATAATAAACATCATTATCTTCCCTCTGAATCAAAAACTATTCATCAAAGAATTAATTAATTTAATCTTCACTCAGTGGAGATTTTAAAATTAGGTGCTTCCTGAACTAAAGTATCTACAAAATGAAAGGTGGTATTTGAATTTTAGTGTTTTTCCTCCCTAGTGACTAAACTTTCAAAACATCTTATAAAAAATGTCTTATATTTTGCCTTCCTTCTATTTTTCTCTTGGCTATGTTTTCGTTATCTTAGTGCTCAGTCCTAAATGAGAAGCTTGAACAACTGCTGCAAGCATTGCATACAGATTCCCAGGCTGCTCCGGTGCCCCCTGGCATCAGCCCTCTCACTGTGGAGGAAGATACTGTAGAGTCTTCTAGTGAAGAATCCTTGGGTGAAAGCAGGGAACAGCTCTCGGATGACAATACGAAATCTTCCTCCCAGAAAGCCACCAAACCAAAAGATATAATGCTGCGGGCAAACAGTTTAAAGAAAGCAGTGAGGCAAGTCATTGAAGAAGCCGGAAAAGGTACACTTGAACAAAAGCAGCTCTGGAAGGAGTTAACAGCGTTCCTGTTGCAAGCATAATAGAATTTTTATAGTAGACAGATTAGATACACTTTAAACATTTTTTTCATTTTTTAATTTTTATTGATTTATTTTTTAAATTTTGTGCAGGGCATGTGCACTCGCCCAAGAGAGACAGAGAGAGAGAGGGTAAGTGAGAAATCACCCCCTATGAGGGATGGTCACACCACAATTTCTTCTCCTCCATTCTTCTCTCTGGATTTGTCCCACATATAGACATGTACCTTGTGTGATTCTCAAGCCACCAGATCCGGAACTTGAACTGTCGGCCATGTAAAATCTAGGCATCTTAACTTACATGCCACCTACTAACCCTAATTTAAAATTTTTTAAAAACCATGTTAGGGGACCAGCAGTTGGAATAATGGCTATGTCGCTGGACTCCCATGTAGTTGACCACAGTTCGAGTCCTGGGCCCGGTGGCTTAAACTCATGCGGGGCACATATATGTGTGTGCCCAAGATCCCAAGAGGAGAGTGGAGGAAAAGGGATTACAGCATGACCAGCCCCCCTGGGGGGTATTTTCTCCCTTTCTGTCTCTCTGTCTCTCTCTGTCTTTCTGGCGAGCACACATGCAAAACCTCTAAAAAAAAAAAAACCACGTTAGATCATGTGTATATACATGAGAGAAAGAGAGTAAGAAGCAACCTCCACAGAGCTCCATGCCATGATCCCTGTCCTCTACTCCAGCCCTCATGGATTTGGGGCATGCATGTGTGCATCTGGTATGTTTTCAAACCTGTCAGGCTTAGGAATGAACCATGCTTGGCATGTGGATTCCAGCTCTATAGTCCACTATACAATCAACTATCCCATAAAGGCTGAGCCAGCCAAAAAAAAAAAAAAATTGTTTTTAGAGATATTTTTTGCTATAGGACATATGCACTCACCAGAGAGACAGAAAGTGAGAAATAACTCCCTAGGGGGATGACCACACCACAATCCCTTCCCTCCATTCTCCTCTCGGGATTTTGGGCACATATGCACACACATATACATGGCGTGAATTTTAAGCCACAAGGTACAGGAACAGTAGACTATGTGGCAGTCCAGCAACATAATTATTACACCATCTGCTGCCCCCCACCCCCACGAAATTTTAAAGACAAGATAGAAGAAGGTAAAGCTTTTAAAATGAAATTTGTTCTTAGTCCCTTTTATTATATTAGTATCAAGGATCAGAATATTAGTGATTCATGAAATAAAGCCTCAGAAATAATAGACCAGGTTGAAACATTTCTTATACTATTAAAAATAGAAAATTGATTTTAATAACTTTTTTATTTTGAAATTTTTTATAAATATTTGTTTTTTAGAATTATTTTTGTTAACTTATTTATTTTTAATTTGATCAGAGGGGGACAGAGAGAGAGGGAAAGTGAGAAAGCAAGCCACAAGGTCTAGGACTTGAACCACAGTTGGCCATGTGGGAGTTCAGTGCCCTTAACCACCACACCACCTGCTGGCCCCTAAATTTCGGATTTTTTTTACTTATGTGTAACCTGTTGAATTCTTAAAGAAAATTAAACCATAAAATACTTAGAAAATGTAGAAAATATTTTCTTAATATTAATTTGTTCAAAGTTTATGTTGCTTTACTATGGGCTCATAAAAGCTCTGACTATATTTTAATGTTTTATATTAATCTAATGTATATACTTTTCTTAGAATTTTAGTAGACTAAAAGTTTTGTTTATTAATTTGTCAGAGAGCATATGTGCTTGCCAGAGAGAAAGAGAGGGAAAGTGAGAAAGTACCCCTCATGGAGTAAGGTCTTGCCTCAGGCCTTTCTCCTCCATTTCTCCTTCCTTTGGGGATTTTAGGCATGCACATAAAAATAACTGGCATGTTTTTCAAGCCATTGGGTCTAAGACATGAACCACAGTCAGCCATGTAGGATCCATCTGCCTTACCCACCACACTGCAGGCTGGCCCTAAAAGTTCATTTTAATATGAATTATTAATATTCAGAAAACCCTTTATGGGTTGTAACTTGTAACTAGACTTACGCTTTTTTCTCTAAATTGCTTGTATTTTATTTTGACAAATATATCATTTTATAACAACTTTATTTAGTTTGATAATCTGGTCTTACAAGCGAAACCCCCATTTTCATTGCTAATTAGTGTTTACTTGCAAATGTGAAATTTCTTCTAGTATATGTTTCAATTTTGCTTTCCTAGGCATATGTTCATATTGATGAGTTTTATTTTTACTTGTCCAAACATACTTATCTTCTTCCTACTTAAAGTTATGGATGATCAGACAGGTCAGTCCTGTGAAGCAGTTAATCAGTCATCTGATTATGATAGTACAGAAACAGATGAATCCAAAGAAGAGTCTAAAGATGATGATGCAAAAGAGTCATTAGCTGGTAAGAAAACTGATAAAATTATTTTGAAATTAAATAAAATGTAATATTGCTTTTATTATCAGTTTGAAATACACTGTTTATTTTTGAAAAGGTAGTGAAGCCTTGCTATACACGAATACTAAAATAATAAAGGTAATAGATTATTAGACTATTGTCAAGTACTCACACATTCCTCTTTCACTATATAACCTGAAGATTCCAATAATAAACTAAGGATCATGGGACTAAAGATAACTAAATACTTTGGCTTTCCTGAAGAAAGAGAAGAAACATGAAAATCATTCAATTTTAGCCTGTGTTAGCTTACCGATTCCTTTTTTGTATTGCCAGAGAATACATGCACCTGCTGGAGAGAGGGAGGAAGTGCTCCCAGTGAGGCATGGTCATGGCACAGTTCCCTTCCTCCGTTTCTTTGTTGTCGGGATTTGGGGCATGCATGCACACCCATCTGGTGTGCGTTTTAAGCCTGCTGCTGGAGCAGGATTCAAACTATGGTCAGCCACGTGGGATCTGGTTCCCAGTGCACAGTGCTTAACCACTATGTTCTGGGGCCAGCCCATGATTCCTTTGAGAATTATAAGAAAGCCTCAGATCTCAGATACAGAAAAATGTGGCATTTAAATGATTTAGTAGTCCCTTGATTTATATCATTAAACTTTAAGTCAATAATCCTTATCTCTGTAAAATCGTAAGATGTCTAGTTACAACCCTTTCACTACTAAAATGATTTTTTCCAAGAAACTAATATGTAATTGCTGGAAAAATGTTAACTGTTTCTCTACCTTATGAGTTTTAATTGGAGATGAATTTATACTTATCATATTTTATATTGCATGAAGGGAAAGTCACTAATTCATTGGGATAAAAAAGCAGAAATTAAAATATTAACAAATATTTTATATTTTATTCTCATGAAAATAACATGCTACTCCTGAAGAGTATATCACAATTAATATCATTTTCATTATATATGAAAAGATTTACATGCTACTCCTGAAGAGTATATCACAATTATATCAGAACTATTTGCAATCATTAAATTTTTGCTTTTCCTTTTGGTATATATAAACTTGGGCAGATTATTTCATCTCTTTGTGGTTTTCTTATCTGTAAAATAGGGTTAATCAGGTATCTACTCCTTTGGGTTCTTGTGAAGGTTGAACAAGTTACTATATGTAAAGTGCATAGATTAGTATATGGTAAATAGTGATGTATGAGTTTTTGCTGTCATCACATCATTATTTTTATTGTTATTGCTACTACTGCTGCTACTACTTACATTAACTTACATTAACTTTGAGAGACTAGTCCTTATTTGTATTTCATACTCTTAAAGGATTTGAAATTATACTTGATAGACCTCACATATTCAGCATACAACCCAACACAAACATATTCTCAGACTTTCTTGACACTCACTTTCAATATATTCCCCTCTTACGGTCAGCTCTAATTGTTGGGAAGTTATTCTTCATAGTAAGTTTTCTGTTATCTCCTTTAATTTTCTATCCATGGTTACAGACACTAGATTATATATACTAATGTTGATGGTAACAACTGGCATTTGCGTAGTGCAGTTTCACACACATTATTACACTACTGTATGATGAAGATGGCTCTCCCTTTTTTATTCTTGTCATTTTTGGAGTTGCAAAGACTATTTAAGATTTCTTTTTTTTTTTTTTTAGAAGTTTATGCTATAGGGCGTGTACACTCACCAGACAGAGAGAGACAGAGAGATAGAAAGAGAGAAATCACCGCCCAGAGCGGATGGCCATGCCGCAATCCCTTCTCCTCCATTCTCCTCTCGGGATCTTGGGCACGCACGTACACGTACCCGGCATGAGTTTTAAGCCACTGGGTCCGGGACATACATGAACCGCGGTCCACTACGTGGGAGTCCAGCGACATAGCCATTACGCTAACTGCTAGTCTCTTTAAGATTTCTTTTTTAAAAAAAGCCTAATTATAGGCGTTTATACTCTTCCCTATGAACTTTGATCTTTCTTATTTAGAGTTGTCATTTTATCATGTGAAAATCGTTTGAAGTTTGATTCTGTTGTCTTAAGTTTGCTTTCTCTATGAATTTTATAAGAGGCCTTAGATGTTTTTATACATTTAAAAATGCTGACTAAATCAGGCTGACAATAGTGTTCTTCCAGTATGCTGCTTGACAATGCCCCTTAAGGTATAATAGTTCTCTTTTGAGGATTGATTTTTCAGCACTCATTAAGAATGCTTTTCTAACTAGTTATCATCTCACCTTACCATACTTTTATGAATTCATTACCACATCGTAGTCTGTAAAGGAGACTCAAACATGCAGATAGATTTAGAAAAGTTTCTCTTTTTTTTTTTTTTTTTTTTTTGAAAGAGAGATTTTTGCTGTTGGGTGTATGTGTATGCTGGAGAAGCAGAGAGAGATGGAGAGACAGAAAGGGAGAAATCACCCCCCAAGGGGGGATGGCCATGCCACAATCCCTTCTCCGTTCTCCTCTCAGAATTTTGGGCATACATGCACATGTACTCAGCACAAGTTTTAAGCCACCTGGGTCCAGGACTTGAACCACGGTCAACTACATGGGAGTCAAGCAACGTAACCATTATGCCATATGCTGGTCCAAGATTTAGAAAAGTTTTTAATGCTGCGGTATTGTACAAGTGGGAGAAAAAGTTCTGGGTTAATTAATCATTTTTTTGAAACACAGTCCTGGTATCATTATTATGTAATAATTTATGTCTGAGATCTAAGAAATACGGTATGTTAATATGATCAATGAGATGCTTTATTTAAGAAGAACCATGAAACATTAATTTAGTTACCTGCGGTAGAACATCAATCTCAGTCATTAGTACTCTCTCTGCTTTTTATCAGAGATGAACATCAAAAAGGTGTTTTTATTAGAAATTAGCCCCAGGAGTCCCATCTGTCAAAAAAAAGAAAAAGAAAAAAGCTATCCTGTTACTTGGACTGTTTTTTTGAACAGAGAGAACAGAGTGTAAGATTAACATAGTTAGTTGTAATTAGTCTTAAGGAGAGTAAAGATAATTAAGTTTTAGAGCATTTTTAAATTGAGTTTGAGTATTACTGTCTTTTGTAAATACCTTCCAATAGCTCCTAAATTAGTTAAAGGCACTATTTACTTTCCATTAAATTGTCTTAGTTTAGATAGAATTAAATCTTTCCTTTTTTGTTGTCTACCTTGAGAATTATTGTATTTTAGAATAACTTTTAAAATGTATTGAACTTTTATAAGAAAATGATAAAACAACTTTGGGAAAGTTATTTTGAATAAATAATTGAGAAGTGCAAGAAAAGCATATTGGTTTTTATTTGAAGATAGATACTGTTTTTCTTTTCATTTATGGAAGTCAAAGTTAACTCATGTTTCATTTGTTAGCTCTAGGAATTAACGTTAATTAAATTTAGTCATTCACTCTGAGAAAATGATTATGATGGTTGTATACATTATAACACACATAATAAATTTTCAGCAACCATTAGGCTTAAAAATTTATATTTATCTTTAAATATCTGTTAATCAGTTTCAAAGTATGAGTATTATTGACTTTTTGGGTTGTCAAAAAAGTCATGAGGCATTTTTTCTATGTTTTCCTATGCAAAAATGCATCATGACTTTTCCAACGACCCAATAGTTACAGTACACATGCAGTTTCTATTGATCTCTGTGTATTTGAGATGAGAGATTAAAATGTCTCTCTCTGGCAGATAGCCTCTATATAAATAAATCTTTAAAAAATGAAAATTAAATAGTAAAATAATAGTAGACACAGTGTTTTTAGTAGGTTTCAGTTATTTTGTCTTCAATTTATAGGTGCGTCCTTATTTTAATAACTTTATCGTTATTTCTTTTTAATATGGACTTTTTGCCAACAGGTAAAACTGCACCTCGGTCTCCAGATGCCCAGGCAATTCGTGGCCATTTCCAAACTGATTCTATCCCTGGTCCAGCTGTGACAACCAACAAGGAAAATCTCCCTGTGCTTAATACCAGAATAATCTGCCCAGGTAGGATAAATTCAAAAACATGGTATATTTTTAAGTATTTCTGAGAAAATGTGTAAGTTCTCATGTCCATGAACCATACAAATATGTTCTGAAGGGTAAACACTCCTTTAGGAGAATATTCTTGGTACAGTTATCAGTTAGAATCCAGGTCCTTAGAATCTACTGTGTGTAACAGTGGCCTAGGAAGTATTAAAACACATGTTGCTGAGAAACTGAGATGGTTCCAGAGTGGAGCTTAAGAATCTACATGTTTTAAGTAGTCAAAATAAATAAATAAATCTGATCTTATATTCTACTACCTCTTAAGTATGTCCATAGCTTTCTTTCTGATTTAAAGCCACCCATGTCTCCCTGCAGTCACTTTTAGACTAAGTGATACTGCTTTATTATGGAATATCTGAGGCATATAGTCCATCCCTGATCAGATTAATTTACCTTGGGATTAGGCCAATACTAATGCAAGCCAAGGGCTGTGGAGCAGGAGATGGAGGAAGTATCAGTGTCTCAGAGGCCTCCTTAAGGACCAGCTGTTGGACTTCATGAAAACTTTCAGATTTATTCAGAGCAGATTGGAATCCAAGATAGACTGAAAATTCATGTCTCCTATAAGTTATTTTTAGAGATGAATCAAATTCACCAATAATAGTTGGAGACATGAGTACGTCACTTTCAGTAATGGGTAGAACAACTATGATAGAATATCAGCCAAGAAATTGAGTACTTGAAAAGTACATAAAACAGCTAGACCTAATCGATGTCTAAAGAGCATGCCAACTAATTATAACAGATATTCTTCACAAGAATCTGTATAACATTCTTCAGAATAGACTATATATTAAGTAATAAAACAATTCTCAGTAAATTAGAAATGATTGAAATCATATAACATATGTTCTCTGACCACATGAGATGAAATTAGAAATCGATGAAAGAATTAAATTTTGGAAATGCACACATATGTGGAAATGTAGCGGTCAATGAAAAAATTACAAAGGAAATTAGAAAATCATTGAGGGTACCACCAGGTTAAGGTGTTGGACTCTGATGTAGTCAACCATAGTTTGAATCCCAAAGGCTTGAAACTCATGCCAGTTGCGTGTGCATGCATACCCAAAATCCTGGGAGGGGAAGGGACTGTTGCATGGCCATTCCCTCTGGGGGTTATTATTTTGCTTGCTTTCTGTCTCTCTTTGTATCTCCAGCGAGTACACACCCTATAGCAAGAACCTCTCTCTCAAAAAAATAAAAAAGAAAATCCTTTGATATGAGTAAAACTAAGTGTACCATACCAAAACTTATTTGATGCAAGTAGTTTTTAGAATTCATGTAGAAATGCAAAAGACCCAGAATACCCAAAACAATCTTGAAAAAAAGAACAAAGTTGGAGAACACATACAACCCAATTTCAAAACTTACTGTAAATCTATACTAATCAAAACGACATTGTGCTGACATGAGAACAGTGTCATAGATCAACTGAATAGACTTGAAAGTCCAGAAATCAGCTACATTTATGGTCAGTCAGTTATCAGTCATTGTATTAATATGACTGAGTGGAGAAAGAATTGTCTTTTCAATCGCTGGTAGTGAGAATAACTAAATATCCGCAAGCAAAGGATGAAGTGAGACCCCTGTCACCAGCCATTCATAAAATTAACTCATTATGGATTAAAAAAGGACTTAAATATAAGAACTAAAACTATAAAACTTGTTTAGACATAAAGAAATTGTCAAAAGAAAGTATATTATAACATATTTGAAACCATAAAATTAAATGACAATAAATCCATCTTGATTATTTAATAGTCAGTGAAACAGTAGTTAAAATAATATATAATAATTCTGAAAGAAGAGCACATGGTTGAAGAAAGGAATATTTGCTAAAGAAAGAACTTGTTTTTCTAATTTCTTAGTATCGGTTGTATGATGTATTTTTCTTCACTGTCTTGTTCTTTTTTGTTTGTTTGTTTGTTTTTGACCCCTATTTGTCTTCTTTGCAGTCTTTATAGTATTCCTAGACTTCATAACGGGTTGAGTAAATTATAAAATTGATTATCTTTGAGTAGCGTAACTAGTTAGTGGGAAAGCATGTTGAAATAAATTAGAAATTTTGCATATGCAGAGGTAAGATAAATGCTTCATTTTTTATATTCAATACTATATTTTTCTAAAATGTATAAATACCCGAATTTAATATTTTTGCTACTATTCTTTTTTTTTTTTAAGGGTTTTTTACCTTAGGGTGCATGTGCTTTCCAGAGAGACAGACAGAGACAGTGAGAGGAAAGTGAGAAATCACTCCCTCCAGGGAAAATGGCCATGCCCCAACCAACCCCTTCTCCTCCATTCTCCTGGGAATTTGGACACACGAGTACACATGCCCAGTGTGATTTTTAATCCACCAGGTTCAGGACTTGTGGGAGTCCAGCAATATAATCACTATGCCATCTGCTGTCCCCTTCACGGCTGTTTCTAACACTAATAGTGACTATTCACCTCAGTATATCACTTAATATGTTGGGGTTTTTGTTTGTTTGTTTGTTTTTTGGCTTTTTGAGAGAATTTTGCTATTGGGTGGATGTGCTCACCACAGACACACACAGAGAGAGAGAGAGAGAAAGAAAGGGAGAAGTCACCCCCCAGGGGGGCTACACTGCAATCTCTTCTCCTCCAGTCTCCTATTGGGATTTTGGGTATGCATGCACATGTGCCCAGTGTGAGCTTTAAAGCTGCAGAGTCCGAGACTCAAACCGTGGTCGACTACATGGGAGTCTAGTGACATAACCATTATGCCATCTGCTGGTACCCATCTCAATATTTAAAATTTAGTATTATTACCTGTGCTTCGAGAGTATGGAAGTGGTCATTTCATGACATTTTAGGTAATTTAGCCATAATCATAAATTTCTTTACAGACTTAATGCTTTATTAGCTGTAACAAAGGAAGTAGCCTTATGTTTGTAGAAGTTATAGAATTATTGGGATGATAAATGAAAAAAAGTCACAAAGCAACTCCAATTTAGGTCCTCATCTCCTTCATTCTTTATAACAACATACTAATCTTTGGCAGTATCAAAATAGTTCTTAGCTGTGAGAAGAGAAGGACTGAAGACAGACATTTGGGAGCAGGATTTTTGATAATAGGCCTGAATGGACTGATTCTGCTTTTCCTTAACTTGTAATCCTGTGTGAATTTATTTTTTCTATCCAGGTTTAAGGGCAGGACTAGCTGCCTCAATTGCTGGGAGTTCTATTATCAACAAAATGTTACTAGCAAATATTGATCCTTTTGGTGCAACACCATTTATTGACCCAGATCCAGATTCAGTGTAAGAAAATGCTTTTGTAAATATTTTCTTGTTGCTCTTTTATATGAATTGTAGCATTTTAAATGTATTAACAATAAATTTCATTCTATATACACAAAGGACAGTCAGAACATTTCAAAAGCTGGTAATGACGAGTAAGTTGAGTCCTTCCAAATTCAGTGGTCCCCATGTTCTGTTTCTGAGGTCGGTCACTTTCCAGCCTGTCCCTTCTTTTTCAGCCTGTTCTTCCTGAGAGCAATCCTCACGCAAAGACAGACATAAATCTACTCCTTTGTTCCTGAAATATTTTACATAATGGTGCCATCACACATATTTATACTATTCTTTTCACCTCCTTTCTTCTTATTCTTGCCAAATCTATCATCTTTCTACAACTAGCTTCTAAGTTTATTTATTTTTGGCAGGCTTCTGGCTCACACTGATCTCTTCTCTTTTCAAAACTCCTCAAGTTTTTGGACCAGCAGTTAGTGTAATGCCTATGTCGCTGGACTCCCATGTAGTTGTCCCCAGTTCAAGTCGTGGACCCAGTGGCTTAAACTCACGCTGGGCATGTGTGCGTGTGTGCCCAGGATCCCGAGAGGAGAACAAAGGAGAAGGGATTGCGGCATGGCCATCCCCCTGGGGGGTGATTTCTCACTTTCTGTTTCTCTGTCTCTTTCTGGTGAGTGCATGCGCCCTATAGCAAAAACCTCTCAAAAAAATAAATAAATAAAAACTCCTCAAGATTTTTTTTTTGGCCTTGTAATATATACTTCTGGGACCAGCAGTTGGGGTAATGGTTATGTTGCTGGATTCCCATGTAGTTGACTACGGTTTTAGTCCTGGACCCAGTGGCTTAAACTCAAGCTGGGCGTGTGTGCGTGTGTGTCCAAGATCCCGAGAGGAGAATGGAGGAGAAGGGATTGCGGCGTGGCCATCCCCCCTGGGGGTGATTTCTCACTTTCTGTCTCTCTGTCTCTCTCTCTCTGTCTTTCTGGTGAGTGCACATGCCTTATCGCCAAAACCTCTTCAAAAAGAGATATACTCCTTTTACTTTCATTTTTAATTTTGCTTTTGTCATATCTCATTTCTGTAATGACATTTCTCAAGAACAGTACTATATTTGAAACTTTCTAAAACACCCAGAATAATGTATTGGAGTTAGCAATTTTATTTTCTTTCATCTTAATAAATATTTACCTACTAAGAGTAGAAGTGGAAGAGACTTTCTAGTGATAAAAAAAAGGGGGCAGCATTGGCACCTGACTGCAAAGCCATCCTCTGTTTATCTCCATTTGTCTGTGTTTTGAGGGGCTTATGAAGGAGATTGAAGGCTAAGATGTTACATTAGTAGAAAACCAAAACACGGCTGTCTCCGCTTTGCCTTGCCCATCATCCTTTTTTATCACATGTACCAAAAACTGTATACATTGACCATGGCTGTACACATGGCCTATGAATAGGAAGTGATTCCTGCTAGGCTTTATAATCTTTTATATGGAATGGAAGTTTAAATGAGTTTAAATTATTTTAAGTGCTGTTTTGTGTACGGGTTAGAATTGTAGTGATCCTGAAATTGACTTTTATGTCATCTTTCTTTTTATCCTAGAGATGGATATTCAGAAAAATGTGTCATGAACAATTACTTTGGGATTGGATTAGATGCAAAAATTTCATTAGAATTTAATAATAAAAGGGAGGAGCACCCCGAGAAATGCAGGTAATATTGGTGATGGTAATAATGGTATTACATGAGCGCAATTTTACTTTAATTTCATTTATTATTTCTGTTGCTTGCTCTTTCTCTAAGGAGTCAGTAAGTAAAATTTCCTGAAATTGCCAACATTTATTTTCAGGAGCCGAACTAAAAACTTGATGTGGTATGGAGTCCTAGGAACCCGGGAATTATTACAGAGATCATACAAGAATTTAGAACAAAGGGTTCAACTTGAGGTAAGTTTATATCAAAGTAAAGACATTTCAGATTACCTTATGTAGAAAAATAATTTCATTTGTGGACCTAATTTGACCTAAATTTTACTTGCTTGGTGAGTGAATACTCAAGGCCAAATATGGAAATTATTATCAACTTCATATTAAAGGATATGAGTGATGCATGTGACTGTCATCATTAGCTCTTGACATTGGGGATGCTATGGATTGCTGGTGGCCCCTGAAAATGTAGAGCCACAGGAGTACTTTTATAGGGTAGGGTTTTTGTTTTGTTTTGTTTAATATTATTTATTTACTTATTTATTTCATGAGAGAGACAGAGGAAGACAGGAAGAAAAAGAGATGCATCCCAACAGCATCTTCATGCCATGACACTTCCCTGCTTTAGCCAGCCGGACTCAGGGGTATGTGCACACCTGGCATGTACAGGGAGGCCTTGAGATGTGGAACCTGGGACCTTCCCATGTGGGTCCAGCTTCACAGAGTGTTGCTTTACCATTGCATCTAGTTCTAGGATAGAGTTGTTGTTTTTTAAATAATTATTTTATTTATTTCTTTTAAAATTTTTTAGAGAGATTTTTGCTATAGAGCACATGTACTTGCCAGAGACACAGAGAGAGACAGAGAAAGAAAATGAGAAATCACCTCCCAGGGGGAATGGTCACACTGCAATTTCTTCTCTTCCATTCTCCTTGCAGGATTTTGAGCTCACATGCATGTGTGCCTGGTGTGAGTTTCAACGCTCCAGGTCTGGGACTCAAGCCACAGTTGGCCATGTGGGAGTCTAGTGGCTTAAGCAGTACACCACCTGCTGGCCCCTATTGTTATTTTTAATTTGGCTAGAGAGGGAGAAAGTGAAAGTAAAAAAACAAGCCTCCAGGTCCAAGACTCGAACTGAGGTCAGCCATGTGGGAGTCCAGTGCCTTAACTACTACACCATCTGCTGGCCCCGTTATTACTACTTTTAATTTGACTAGAAAAAGAATGAAAGTGAAAGTGAGAAAGTAAGCCTTCAGGTCTAGTACCCGAACCATAGTCAGTCATGTGGGAGTCCAGTGCTTTAACCCCCACACCACCTGCAGACCCATAGGATAGAGTTTCCAGTGGATTTTCTCATTTAAGTTTCCAAACTCTGACCAAATACATCATGCCCAAAGTGTCACAAATCCCTGAAAATAATGTTCTCTTAATTTAAATGCAATATTTTGTTCCATTTATTTCTAACATGTCAGTATAAGAAAAATATTTTGAATTTTTAAGTGTCTTTTTTACTTTAATGTAAGTAGGAAATTAAGGACAGCAAACTTTTTTTTTTTCATGTACTCTAATGATAAAAAGTTTAGGTGCCTGACTCTGACAACTCTATTAATTTCTGTGAATTTTCTTTTCTTTTATTCTTTGTCTGAGGCTTACCATTTATACTGATAGGCATGCCTTTCATATCTGGTATCTTTTTATAAATAGACTTTGTTTTTTAATTGCCAGAGGTTTCATGCACTTGACAAAGAGAGAGAGAGAAAGAGGAAGGTAAAAAGCATCCCTCAATGGGGTGTAGTTGCGACACAATCCCTTCTCCATGCTTGTCTAGATTTGGGGCACATACACACTTGTGTCCAGTGTGTTTTTCGAGCCTTTTAGACCGGGATTAAAACCACTGTCACTCATCTGGGTTCTGATTCTCTTTAGTCACTAGGCTACGGGGCTAGCCCTACAACCAGATGTTTTTAATTAAAATATATTATTCATACAGAAATGTATACAAGTCTAAAGTCTACAATGCAATAAAATTAAAGAGAACATTATTATTTTAGATATTATTTTTTATTTTCCATTTGTTTTTATTTTATATTTTCTTATTACATTTCATTTTTGTACATTTTTGTGGGATCCAATGTGCTTTTTTTTTTTTTGAGAGAGAGATTTTCACTGTAGGGCGCGTGCGCTCGCCAGACAGACAGAGAGAGACATAGACACAGAAAGCGAGAAATCACCCCCTGGGGGGATGGTCACGCCGCAATCCCTTCTCCTCCATTCTCCTCTCGGGATCTTGGGCATGCACGCACACGTGCCCGGCGTGAGTTTTAAGCCACCGGGTCCGGGACACGAACCGCGGTCGACTACGTGGGAGTCCAGCGACATAGCCATTACGCTAACTGCTGGTTCCCCCAATGTGCTTTTTTAAAATGCATGCATTTTGTGATAATCAAATCAAGGATATTACTGTATTCATTGTCTTCAACAAAGAGCATTACATAATGTACAACTTTGGTTTTTATTATACAAGTTGTTTGTTTTAGTATACGCACACACAATAGCACTTTTTTTTCCCTCTGTGTGTATACCTTATACCTTTCCATAACCTGTTCCCTTGTTTATATGCATTCTTGTTCTTTTCAAAGTTTTTTTCTGACCCTCTCCCCTAAGGTGCTAGCGTAGCACTGGAATGTGGACTAAAACAGTGCCTGTCTCATTTATTATCAGCTAAATGTTCTAGGGAAGATAAACTTTTTATACCTCCCACTTTAAAAACATTACTACAGTATCAACTGGTTTGATTTATAATTTCTTGTAGAATTAAGATAGACATAGACATTATTGGCTGAAAAGGCGTAAAATTGGAAAGGTTCACACTTCATAAGTTTTGACAGCCCCATCTCTCTGTCAGCTTGGATGCGCTCCTCTATGTTGTAATCTTTCATTTTTTAAATCTGTTTACCTGGATCAGCCACCCTCCTTAAGGACAGGTAGGAAGTTGTACTCATCTCTGTTAGAACCAGTGCTTATTTAGCACAGTTCCTGGCCCCTTGTTGAGGGGGAAATGGACAAATGAACGATCATTTTAGATAATTTGGTAAGTATTGTGATCATGCCCTGTAGCTGGCATTTTTAAGGTTTAGGAAATGATCTCTACTTTGAATAGCTATGTGGGCTTCATTCCAGAAAGGATTGTAGCCTCTTCTAATGGTAGTCCAAATTTTGAAAAAGAAATCTTACGCAGCTGGTTTTTTACTCTTCTTTAGAAGGATTCTTAATCGTTTTTGAGCTGTAGATTCCTTTGGCATTCTAGGAAACTTGACCCCTAATCAAAATATTGTTTATAAATTCATAATATAAAATATACAGACTTACAAAAGAAATCAGTAGTGTCAAAATAAAATGACAATATTTTTAAAATTTGTTAAAGAATAATGTGTTTCATCATGGCCCTACCAAATAAACATATAATGGCATGTTTACTAAATAACCACAATTGCTAAGGAATGATGAACATATTACAGGACATCTGAAACATCTGTAATGGGATTCGGTTAAGTCTGTATTTCGCTTAATGATGTGGTCAGGTGTATCACTAATGCCTGGTTTGCTACCTACTTTTATAATTGAGGGCAATGCTAAATTTCAGGTGTTTGTGAACAGAGATGTGTTTTTACCATCAAGTTGACAGACCCCTGAATCTATCCATGGGATCCTAATTTCTGAACTTTAAGAATCCTTGATATAGTAATGGATGTTAAATGATAAAACAGGGAAATAAAATCAGTGACAAGATAAGTGAAAACATGTTAAAAAGGTAAAGCAGAAAAAGTACAGAGTCAGTTGTGATAGTTACAAGTAAACCAAATCCTACTTTTAAAGGCCTGTTGTCTGAAAATCCATTTCCCTGATGATGGTTGTCCATGGAGCTTCGTGCTAAAATGTTTATCTTCATCCATACTGTGTTTGCAAATAAAGTGCATCCATTAATAAAATCTTTAAAGACTGCTCTGAATTGTTTTTAAAAATAGTTGTTTTACATTTTCTGAGAGTATTTTATTCCATTTCCTTTAAGTTAGTCATGATTGGGGCCAGCAGGTAGCATAGTGGTTAAGGTGCTGGACTCCCACGTGGTCGACCATGGTTCAGGTCCCACCAGGCACATGTGCATGCAGGCCCAAAATCGAGAGGGGAGAATGGAGAAGAAGGGATTACAAGAGTTGTGCCCACCCCCCCCCAAGGGATGATTTCTCACTTTCTGTATCTCTGTCTCTGTCTCTCTGGCAAGTGCATGTGCCCTAAAGCAAAAGGCTAAAAAAAAAAAAAAAAAAGCTAGTAATGATTTAAAACAGCTTTTTCTTTTTTTTCTTTTTCTTTTTCTTTTTTTGGAGAGGTTTTTGCTATAGGGCACAGGCACTTGCCAGAAAGATAGAGACAGAGAGACAGAAAGCGAGAAATCAGCCCACAGGGGGGATGGCCAAACCGTGAGGCATTCATCTTTTTCCTCTCGGTATCTTGGGCACACAAGCACACGCGCACCTGGCATGAGTTTAAGCCACCGGGTCTGAGACTCAAATAGCGGTCTCCATGGGAGTCCAGCGACATAGCCATTCTGCCAACTGCTGGTCCCTAAAACAGCTTTTTCTAAAGCACACAAAGATATATGTTTAGTGTTTTGGGTTTAGAAGAAGTTAATCTGGGATCAGCAGGTTGCATGGTGGTTAAGGGCACTGGATTCCCACGTGGCCAACTGCAGTATGAGTCCCAGACCTGGTAGCTTGCTTTCTAACTTTCCTCCTATCGCTCTCTCTCTCTGGCCAACTAAAAATTAATTAATTAATTAATTAATTAAAAGAAAATAATTCTTTAAAAAAAAAAGTTAAGCATTCATTAGGTCATTGAGCAGGTCGGTACGTATTTTCCAATACAAAAATGCATCATCACTTTCCTGAGGACCCAGTAGTAATTATTATTCAGTCATTTAGCAAATATATATTGAACACCAGCTATTTGTCAGGCACTCCTCGTAGGTACTGACATACAGAATGGGCCTCTGAACTTGTCTGATGTTAACACTCTTTTCATTTAAAAAAGGAAAAAAGGAAAGGAATTGTGAAATACACCTAGAAATAATCTATGCAATCTCAGTTATTAAAATGGTTGAAAGTGGGTTCGAGCTGGATTCTCATTTGTTCTAAAGGTTGAAGATAATTTTGACTGGCATTAAAATGCAGTTTTGTTGAAATTATGTTAACTATTTTTTAATATAAAAATTAGGATTAATGAAAATAAGCATCTATTTTAGGTATGACATCTGCAAGCTCTTCCTTAGTGAAGGTTTAAATCACTCCCTTGGATTAAGAGTTCACTTTGAAAATGTTAAGAGGGTCTATTTAAATATTGGTTAAAATATTAAGCAGGATCATCATAAAATTTATGTAACATAATTACTGTCATTTTCCTTAAGTTTTTTAAAAAGTTTGAGTTCCTTACCTGTCTCCCCCTTAATAACTAATTAGACTTTACTTAAGAAGTAATAGAGCAAAGCAAACTATTAATTGAAATTAATTAAAGAAACATTTATGAAAAAGTAGTATTCTCCTTCTACTCCATAAGAATTTATTCATATGTAATGTGTAATTACTTCATTAGCCATATTGTTTTTCTTTTTATAGATGGTAATTCAGTTTTTTAAGTGCTTAGTTAGAAGGCAAGGAATGTAATAGGCTTTCTGACTTGCTTTTTTTTTTTTTGCTTGGTTTTGGTTCTGACTAAAGTTGTTAACCCTTGATATTCTTGGGGAATTAGTTCCAGGACTCCCCATCGATAACAAAATCTGTAGATGCTCAAGTCCCTTAAATGGTACAGGGCAGACTGTGGCACAGCGGTAAAATACAGTGCTTTGCAAGCCTGATCCACAGTGAAGGTTCTGCGTTAATGTCCAGAGACCTCCCTAACATGCTGGGTATGTGTGTACCATGGTCTGGGACTGCTGAGGCTGAGAGTGGATCACACCACTGAGACCCTGTTGGTGGTACTATCTCTATCTCCCTCTTACAGATAAAGAAATAAACTTTTTGTAAAAAATTATTTTATTTAACTTTATTTATTTATTTATTTCAATTTGAGCAGAGAGGGACAGAGCGAGAGGGAGAGGAGAGAGAGAGAGAGAGAGAGAGAGAGCGCAAGCCACTAGGTCCAGGACTCGAACCGTGGTTGGCCATGTGGGAGTCGAGTGCCCTTAACCACCATGCCACCTGCCAGCCCCGAAATAAACTTTTAAAAAATTTTTTAAATGATTTGGTACTCTTCTTGAAAAACTCACCTTTGAATTTAACCAGTTACCAAGTCATTAAGGAGCACTAGCAGTGGACCTGGGGCTGAGAGGTGCTAGATAAGGAGAGTAAGACCCACCCCCTTAATACAAGTGAGAATATGGTGACACTCAAGACAAGGTCTGTCTGGTTTGGGAAGAAAGAAGAGGGAATATATTTTTATTTTTAAATTCAGTTTTCTGTAACAGCTTGTGCTATAGTTATTTATCCTTTCAGGTTTTCTAAAATTAAAAACATAAACGTCTTTGTAATATGCAGAAATGTATTTGCGGGAGAGCAAACAATACCAACATGCTTTGCTCCATCACCCTTTGTCTTTGGGATTTCAGCATCTTTCAAATACTAGTTTTGCTCTTTTTGTCTAACCTCGAAGCTTTTTACATTGCAGTGTGATGGGCAGTACATTCCTCTCCCCAGTTTGCAAGGCATAGCGGTGTTGAACATCCCCAGCTATGCTGGAGGCACTAACTTCTGGGGTGGAACTAAAGAGGATGATGTAAGTAGCAAGAAAATAAACAGTTTATTTCCTCAAAAATAACTAAATTACCAGAATATCTTTTTTAACATGTGCCTTTCAATATTAATTTCATGTTGGAATATTTTACACTGAGAAGATAAGGGGTGGAATAGATTTAAGGTTTAGTCTCTCTTACTGGATATACTCTAAAATTTCTCATGTTGATATGATATGCTTATCTTTGGATGTAGATAACAATTTTCTGGATGAACACAAAAGAATTAACTTTGGGAAAGTAGATTTAGGAGATACAGAGAAGTTTATACTTTTACATTTTATTACCTGTGTTAGTTTTCTATTGCTGCCATGACAAATTAACACACATATAGCAACTTGACGCATTTACCACCTTACATGTAGTTCTATGTGGTGGAAGTCTGACATGGTCTCACTGAACTGAAGTCAAAGTGTCAACTGCACTGTATTTCCTTCTGGAGGATCTAGGGAAAAATCTATTTCCTTGACCTTAGCTTTTAGAAGCTGCTCACATTCCTCCCTCCATTTTTACAGCCAAGGAAGGCAGGTTGGAAGCTTCTCACATTACATCACTGTGGTCTTTTTTGCTTTCTCTTCCACTTTCAATGACCCTTGTGATTGCACTGGGCCCACCCATATGATCCAGAATCCTCACCTCCTCTCAAAGTCCTTAATTTAAGAGCCCTGAGAAAGTGGGTCAGTGGGAACCATAGTATCGTAAGCCTCAAATCAAAATCGGTGATTTTCTTACCTATGAAAGCTCTTTTTGCCTATAAAGTAACACAGTGACAGATTTCAGGGATTAGGACATGATATTTTAGAGGTAGGAAATTGGGCATTATTCTGTCTGCCAAAGTACCAGGTCATCCGCATAGTCATGATATATTTTTCTATGTTTTTTTCTATGCAAAATGTGTCATGACTTTCCCAATGACCCAATACCTTTCTGTTTTTTAATTTTCTAAACATACACACACACACACACACACACACTCACACACACTTTCAAATATTTTAACATTTAAAAATTTTTTTGCCAGAGGGTATGCTCATTAGAGCAAGACAGAGAAAGTAAGAAAGCACCCTTCCAGGACAACTGGCCATGCTGCAATCCCTTCTCCTCCATTCTCCTCTCAGGATTTTGAGCATGCACACACAGGCACCCAGTATGTCCTCCCAGGCCCCAGGTTCTGAACTGTAACCATGCACTGAGCCAAGCGAGATCCAATCACCTCAACCTCCACACTACCAACTGGCGTGTTTTTTTATTTGTTTTAATTTTATTTTTTTAAAATAATAATTTATTTAATTTTAATTAACTAAGTAATTAATAATTTGACCAGAGAGAGAGAAAAAGTGAGAAAGCAAGCCACCAGGTTCCCAGAACCACAGTCAGCCATGTCAGCACCCTTAACCACCACACCACTTGCCAGCCCCATGGCCCGTATTTTTTTAAGAGAGATTTTTGCTATAGGGTGTGTGTACTCGCTGGAAAGACAAGGAGAGACAGAAAGTGAGAAATCACTTCCGATGGGGGATGACCATGTCTCAATCACTTCTCCTCCATTCTCTTCTTGGGATTTTGGGCACACACGTCCCCGGTGTGAATTTAAGCCACTGGGTCAGGGACTTAAACTGCGGTCGATTACCTGGGAATCCAGTGACATAACCATTATACCATCTGTTGGTCCCTATTTTTCGAAATATTAGGAGGGCTCATTTGGCCAGAGGTTTAAAGCTATTTTTTTTTTCTCTTTATACTTGCCTGTATTAAAAGAGGGAAAAAGCACAACCTCACAAATGTAATTATTCTAAAAAAAAATTAAAGAGGTGGTATAAATATTAAAGCATTATATTAAAATATATAGCAGTAAAAGTGAGGAATGTTGTCATAATCTTTATTTGGAAAGTCACAGACACCGATTTTGATTTGAGGCTTACGATACGATGGTTCCCACTGACCCACTTTCTCAGGCCTCTTAAATGAAAGGCAGGGCTGAAAGTGTAAGATAAATTGAAAAGTATCTGTCATCTTCATAATATGAATATATTCCAACCCTACTGGAGTTTAAAAACTTATAAGAGCAGTCAACATTTGTTTTTTGTTTTGTTCTGAGAGATTTTTGCTATCGGGCACATGTGCTCCCTAGACAGAGAGACAGAAAGCAAGAAATTCCCCGCGAGGGGTGATGAACATACTACAGTCCCTTCTCGTCTGGTCTCCTCTTGGGATCTTGGGCACACACACACATGTGCCTGGCATGAGTTTCAAGTTGCTAGGTCCAGGACTCGAACTGCAGTTGACTACATAGGAGTCCAGTGATGTAACCATTATGCCATCTGCTGGTTCCCTCAACATTTTTTTTTTTTTTTGGAGCTATAGGGCTGCTTGCCAGAGAGAGACAGAAAGTGAGAAATCACCCCCAGAGGGGGTGGCCACGCAGTGATCCCTTCTCCTCCATTCTCGTCTCGGGATCTTGGGTACACATGCACACATGTGCGGTGTGAGTTTAAGCCACTGAGTCTGGGACTCGAACTGTGGTCAACTACATGGGAGTCCAGTGATGTAGCCATTAGGCCATCTGCGGGTCCCTCCCTCAACATTTTCTTTCTTTCTTATTTTTCTTAAGAATTATTTAACTTTATTTATTTATTTTATTCATTCATTCATTCATTTTAATTTGACCAGAGAAGGACAGAAAGAGAGAGAAAGTGAGAAGGCAAACCGCCAGGTCTAGGTCTCAAACCGCAGTTGGCCATGTGGGAATTCAGCACCCTTAATCACTATGCCACCTTCCAGCTCCGCCCTCAACATTTTTGTATCAGTCTATCACTACTCTTAAATATTTTGGGTCCAGATAGTGGCATGATAGTTAAGACGGTTGGATCCCACATGGTCGACTACATGATTAGAGTCTCAGACCTCACAGCTGGAAAAACACACCAGGTGTGTGCGTATGCATGCATGCCAAAATCCTGATAGGAGAGAAAAATGGAGAAGGGATTGTGGCATGACTATTCCTCAAGGGGGTACCCTTGAACTTTTTTCCTCTCTCTCTCCTCATCCACAGTCCCCCTCTTTCCTCCCATCCCCTGCAAGTGCACATATCCTCTGGCAATGTGTTTTTTTAAGAAATTTTTGAAAGAGAGAAATCAGTGAGATTAAGATTAGTAAAACAGTTACTACATAAACACTTACTAGGTATCAGACAAAGTATAAGAGTGTCACATTTTTATTTATTACCAACATTTTTCATCTAAATTGAAGAAACTGAAGCAAAGTTTAGGATGTCACAGGAAGTCAAAGAGACATTTTTTTTCTTGGCTTTTGCCACAGGGCACATGCACCCACCAAAGAGACAGAGAGAGAGGTAAAATGAGAAATCACCCAAGTGGGATGGCCAGGCCTCCATTCTCCTGCTGGAATTTTGGGCATGAATACACACACACACACACACACACAGAACATGATTTTCAAGCCACCAGGTCCAGGACTTGAACTACAGTCAGCCACGTGGGACTCCAGAGCTTCAACTACATGCAGGGACCACACCACCAGAGACAGTTTTTAAGTTCAAGCATTCTAGTAACCAAATGACTGTTATTTCCAATGAAAGTTTTAGACTACTACTTTATACTGAATATATTTTTCAAAGATATAATATTTTATGAAAGTGAATAAAAAGATAATACAGTCTAAATTTAAAATTTTAGAGGAAGGTAATTTTGTAAAAATGCTTCTGACATTAAGGCAAAGTAGCCTATATAATTTTTATCCTGTGAAGTTTCTATTTCTACACTCTCAAATACCCTAAAGTCATATTAAGATATAAAGTACGTATGTATATTACTATAACGCCTTGAAAGATTTCCTTAGAACATATCAATTGAACTGGATCATAATTTGTATTAGCTTTAACCTTATGAAACTATACCACATTTCAAGTTCTTTAGATTTTCAAAAATTACATGCATCATATTATCAAGATGTCTGAATTATGTATGAATAGCTATTTAACACGTATTATACCAAGATGAATTATTTGGAAATATATTAGTTCACTGGTCTGAAGAGTGCTTTATGAGAAGTACAAATATTATATCCATGTGGATTTTTTAAAAGGAATTATTTATTTTATTTTATTTATTATCATTTTGTTTTTTAAAGAATTATTTTATTTAACTTTATTTGTTTATTTTAATTTGACCAGAGAGCAACAGAGTGAGGGAGAGTGAGATAGCAAGCTGCCAGGTCTGGGACTCAAACTGCAGTTGACCATGTCCAGCGCCCTTAACCACCACACCACGTGCTGGCTCCAGTATTATCATTATGTTTCAATTTGAATAGAGAGAGACAAAAAAAGAAAGAGAAGGTGAGAAAGCAAGCCACCAGGGCCAGGACTCAAACCATGGTCAGCCATGTGGGATTCCAGTGCCTTAACCGTCACACCACCGGCTGGTTCTCTCTATGTGGATTTTTAAAACTCTGTCTTTATTAGGTTTATTTTAAGTCATCTGTAGATTTTTTCCTTGGATTATCACTTCCTAATAAAATTTTGTTTGTTTTTCTACGTATTATTGGATCATCAGGAAAGTTATGATGAATTTTTACACAGGAATACATAGAGAAACACATGACTTTCCTGATGGCCTAATATTTTTATAATATTTTGAAAAATACATATATTGCAGGGTTTACATTGTTTGATGTGCCATTTCATCTGAACCTTTGGTGGAAGTGTAATGTAGTTTTGCCTTTCAGATATTTGCAGCACCATCGTTTGATGACAAGATCCTGGAGGTCGTTGCAATATTTGATAGCATGCAAATGGCAGTTTCCAGGGTCATTAAGCTGCAGCATCATCGAATAGCCCAGGTTGGTTTCTGAACTTCCTGGGCCTGCAAGGGTTTGGGAAAGCTATTCCATATGACTTCTGCGCTGGATACACATCTATAAAATGTTGACTTTCTTGCCATGTCAGCTGTTCCTACCCCATCATAAGTGGTAGAGCATAATATTCCATTCCATGAAAGTCTTTGCAGATTGCAGTCAATTCTTCAGGACAATTTGTATCTAAAATAACTTGTTTGTTTTATTTCAGTGCCGTACAGTAAAAATCACTATCTTTGGTGATGAGGGAGTCCCAGTGCAGGTGGATGGTGAAGCATGGGTTCAGCCTCCAGGGATTATCAAAATTGTGCACAAAAACAGAGCTCAGATGCTGACAAGGGACAGAGTATGTAACAAAAAAACCTTCTAAAATGTTATGAAGCCTTCTTTAAAAACATCTTTAATTGTTATGAAAAATAGAAAACGATGGAAAATATTTAAATTATCTCTTATATCTGACATTTAGCTCATTATGGTTTTAAATATGCACAGATATTTATTTTGCCTTTTTTTTGTAATTAGTGGACTTTATGTTTTGGAGCAGTTTAGTCTTACAGAAAAATTGAGCAGAAAGTACAGCAAATTCTAATAATATTCCCACATACTTCTTTACCTCATCCTGTTCCCTCCCGCACACAAATTTCTCTATGATTAACATATTGAATTAGTGTGGCACATTTGTCATCCTTGATGAGTCCATGTATTGACACATAATTATTAACTGAAGTTCATAGTTTACAATACTCTGTGTTGTATGTGCATTGCTTCAGACAAATGTCCACTCACATGTATTCACCATTTTAGTATCATGCAGATTAGGTTCACTGCCCTACAAATTCTCTGTGCTGTCCCTATTCATCCCTCTATCACTTTTTTTTTTTTGGAGAGGTTTTCGCTATAGGGCGCGTGCGCTCGCCAGACAGACAGAGAGAGACATAGAGACAGAAGGCAAGAAATCACCCCCTGGGGGGGGATGGTCATGCCGCAATCCCTTCTTCTCCATTCTCTTCTCGGGATCTTGGGCATGCACGCACACGCGACCGGCGTGAGTTTTAAGCCACCGGGTCTGGGACACAAACTGCGGTCGACTACGTGGGAGTCCAGCGACATAGCCATTACGCTAACTGCTGGTTCCCCCTCTATCTCTTACCCCTACTCCTGGCAATCACTAATCTCTTTACTGCCTCAATAGATTTGTTATCTCTTAAATTTATGTAGAATATGTATGTATTTTTAAAATTTTATTTCTTCCAGGAGAGAGAGAGAGAGAGACATATACGCATCCCCAACAGGGTCTTCATGCCATTTCAGGCCCCCAGTCTTAGCCAGATACAGTCTTAGCCATCCCAGCTCATGGGCCTGAATGCACATGCCCAGTGTGCACAGGGATCTCGGAATATGAACCCAAGACCTTCCTGTGTCAGTCCAGTTGCATTATTCCTGTACTACCAACTGGGCCCCCAGAATATGTATTTTTAATTTAACTTTTAACAAATAAGACTCAGTATTCATCCTGTATAGTGTATATAAAATAGTAAAAAATGGAAGCATAAATTGCAGAAAGAGTAAAGACTGATACATAAAATTGTTAACTCTTCAGCAAACAGTTGTCATCGTTAATTATATTACTTTTTATGTGGTAAATACTGGAAAACTTTAAAATGCCAGTTTTTATACTTGGAATTTATTTAATGAGGTGTTAATGAAAAATTAAAAAAGATAGTTTCAAAGGGAATGTAATATCTAGATGCACGTTTATATGGGTCTGAGAGCTCTGAACTAACAATTCGTTGTGATTGATTTCAAATAGGCCTTTGAAAGCACTCTGAAATCTTGGGAAGATAAACAGAAGTGTGACTCTGGTAAACCAATGCTGCGAACCCATTTGTACATCCACCATGCCATTGACTTAGCCACGGAAGAGGTGTCTCAGATGCAGCTGTGTTCTCAGGCTGCTGAGGAGCTCATTACACGGTATGGGGGTACTACAGGCTTCTAAACTGAGAACTCTGGTCTCAGCCAATTTTTTTTTTCAATTTTAATACATCATTTCAGTTGTTCATGGTATCAAAAAAAAAACATTTACTCTTCTTGTCACTTAATTTGTGCCTTAATATCCTACCCAACACACATGCAACGCGTATACACCTGTGTGTCCTCTGTGGTTTATATCATGTACTTTCAAAATCTTAAGGCCTGGGACCAGTAGATGGTGTAATGGTTATGATCCCAAGAGGAGAATGGAGAAGGGATTTCAGTGTGCCCATCCCCCCGGGGGCTGATTTTTCACTTTCTGTCTCTCTGTTTCTCTGGTGAGTGCATGTGCTCTATAGCGAAAATCTCTCAAAAAATAAAAATAAAAGTAAAAACAAAAATCAAACACATAAGGCCTAACCCTGCCATACAATACTCTTTCTATTATTACCTCCCTATTTTATATAGTCACATCAAACTATCTACTTAAATGTTGCATTATAATTAAATATTTATTGAATGTAGAAATAAGTCTGAATGTTAACTCTGTTCCCAGGAGGCAAAAAAAAACCAACCAGTTTTCAACAGACATGTAACAGAGACTTCAAGGCCACGTAAGTTTATTTTGGTAGATAGGAAAGGAAGAGATTAAAAAAAGAATTTCTCTGGACCAGCAGTTAGCATAATGGCTATGTCGCTGGACTCCCATGTAGTCGACCGCAGTTTTCCATGAACTTTTTGAAGTCTCCTTATATTCATTCAATTGTCAGAAAATATTTTTGTGCCTCTTTTGTGTATCAAGCACCATATTAGCCATTGGGGATGCCAAGATTACTACTTTAATGTTCTTAATTGGTTCTCAAATAATAGGAGACAGGAGTGTGGCCAAAGTGCTGTCACTGAGCACACAGTGGGTGTTGCTGGTGCACAGAGGTAGTGAAAGAGGGCTTCTTGGAGAAAGTGACCTTTTAGCTGAATCTTTTTTTTAAGAGGTTTTTGCTATAGGGCGTGTACGCTCGCCAGAAAGACTGAGAGAGAGAAAGGGATAGAAAGCAAGAAATCATCCCTTAGGGGGATGGCCACGCTGCAATCTCTTCTCCTCTCCTCCATTCTCCTCTCAGGATCTTAGGCACGTTTGCACACGCACCTGGCATGAGTTTAAGCCACCGGGCCTGGGAATCGAACACGGTCAACTACATGGGAGTCCAGCGACATAGCCATTACACCAACTGCTGGTCCCTTAGCTGAATCTTGAGGGAAAAATACAAGAAGGAGCAATCAGCTTCTAGGCAGAGGCCTCAAGAACTGTGAGTGCATTGTACTTCCAGGAAATCTCAGATAGTTTGGGGCAGGTGACTGAAGTGTTAGCATATATATATATGTGAGAATGTGGGAAATGTGGACAGAGGTATGGAGAGGGGCCATTTTTTATGGGATGGTTCTGGTAGCAGTGTGGAGGAATTTCTAGAAGACAGCAAAGCTGGGGCAGGGAGCATATGTAGAGCCTTGTCAGAATGGTCCTGATAAGAAATGATGGAGTAAGGCCCTTAGAGATGGACAAAGGAGAGATTTAAGCCAATTTGGGATCTAAAATTGGTGTACGGGAGCAGGCAGGTGGTGTGGTGGTCAAGGCTCTGAACTCTCACGTGGCTGACCATGGTTTGAGTCCCAGACCTGGCAGCTTGATTTCTCACTTTTCCTCTCTCCCTCTTGTCAAATTAAAAGTAATAATAATAACTAATAAAATTAAATAAATAAGTCTTTAAAAATAATTTTAAAAATAAAATTGGCATATGGGCATGAGTTAGGAAACAGGATGGCTTTAAAGTTTCTCGTGAAGAGCTGAGCGATAGACCCAAAGGATTCAGGAAGATGAGTAGATTTGAGAGGGAATAATGGGTTCCATGTTGGATATTTTAAAAATTAATTACATTGGGAAAATGTAAGGAAGAGATTCAATAGACAGTAATGTTGATCTGCCTCTTCCCATTCTTTGAAAATTAGAATAGTTTTACACAACTCTAGTCTTCTGATGAATAACCCGCTCTCCATGATTTCTCAAGGTTATTGATGGTAATGCTGAGATAACATTTCTAGGTTCTTTTGAGCCTTGGCTATCTGTTGGATAATCCTTAAAAATTTAAGTCTGTTCTTTTACTCCTGATTTAATATAGAGCTTCTCTCTGCTTTCTTGTTCTATCTTTTCCAGACAAAAGGTCCTTTTCTGTGAAGATGTCAGAAGCAAAAGGCATTTGAATAATCTTATTTACTTGCCCACCTGCAAATCTTATGTCTTTTTTTTAGCAATCAATGGAATGTTTCTTGCTTGCTTTTCTTTGGCCTTAGTGCCTTCTGGGATTTTTTTCTTTCTATGAGATTATCAGGAAATTTATGATAGAAATCCATATGGAAATCCATCATGACTCTTTCTATGAGATTGTCAGGAAAGTCATGATAGAAATCCATATGGAAATCCATCATGACTTTTCTGATAACCCCATAGTACTGTTCTCACAGGTTTAGATACCAGGGGAGTATGGCACCAAGTCTTTGGGATTGAATAGACATAGATTCAAATCCTGGCTCTGCCATTTATTACCTCTTTATGCATTATTAGTCTCTCTAAGTCTCATTATCGTCATCTGTAAACTAGGTCAAATCAATGCTGCTACCTTTTAAGATTGTGAATATTAATAATGTTTACAAAGTACTAAGCATTTTGATGCTAAATGTAGCAATGCTTTTTCCCTAATTTGTTGTATTTGTTCCTGGTTGAAGTTTTAATGAATAAAAGGTAAATTTCTACTCTTCACATGTGTAACCCCTCTCTCTCCCCAATATTATTGCAAAATGAAGTATTACTATATTTTGCTCTTCCAAATAACACTTTAATATGTTTAACTCTGACTCAAATACTAATTTTTAAAAAGAAATTATAGCAAAGGACAAGTGTTTATGCCAGAGAGAGGTGGAGAGAACACCCCCCACCCCAACAATGGCTGGTCACGTCACCATCCTTTTTCTTCTATTTGTGCGTCCCATCAGGTTCCTGGGAACACACTTACTGGGGCTGGGATTGAATGGTGGGTTACCACTTGGGACCTGGCTTTCTTTGTACAGTGTTTAACAACTGCTGTATGGGGCTAACCCTGAGCCTAATTTTTAAATGAAGATTCTCAATTTAATATTCTTTGTTGCAGTATGGTTTGAATTTTGTAAATCTACACTGTGACATTCATAATTGAGCAACTATTTTAAAATGTTTTTTCCTTACCAATCTTTATATTCTTTCACATCTTCTACACTTCAAAAAAATGAGCAATGCTCAAAAAAAGCCTTTTATTCATTTGTTTTTGCTTTCAGGATTTGTGATGCAGCCACGATGCACTGCCTCTTGGAGCAAGAACTGGCCCACGCTGTGAATGCGTGCTCCCATGCACTGAATAAAGCCAACCCAAGATGCCCGGAGGTGAGGATCTAATGGTAAATTCCCATTCCACAGATTCTTTTGGTGTTACACGTCTATTTTTATACTGCAAAATATGCTACACTCTGTGAAAGAAAGATACAGACTGTAGTATATCTGAATCTCTGCAAGAAGCTTATGGTAAATTTGTGGCCATATTTTTCTCTTTCCTACCGTCTTTCCAGTCCTACTCTTCACTCCATTTTTTCATTTCACTTTCAGTAACTTACCACTTTGCTATCTTTTATTGCTTTAACGCTACCAACCTTTTAACTACCACCATCCTTCCTTTCTTCTTTTATCTTCTCTCCTGCATCTTGATAAAGGGCAAACCTAGATACCACACATCAGTGTGCATTTTGTTAGAGATGTGTGTTCATTCTTCAGGTGGTGCACTGAAATTATTCTTACTTTGTTTTGTTTTTCTAAACTGGATATTGATACTTGTATAAAATTTTAAATGTAAAAGTTAATAATACAGTGGCTGAAATAAAATTTTCTCGACATGTGATAGATGGTACAATGCTATAGCATAGAGAAAACTGGTAGCATTATTTTATTCTTTTAATGATTCAATTGAATTACCTAAAATAAGTCAGTGTTAGTTGCCAAAATTACAGCGTAAAAAGCAATCTGGTTGGGACGACTGAGAGTGAAAATCCTTAGATAAGATTAGTTATCATTAGCTCATGCCCCCTATCAGACATAATTTTCCTTAACTTTTGATAGGAAAGTGTATGTATTGTTGCTAGCTTATGCATGTTTGTAGGTAGGCACTGTGATCCTAATTGTATCATTTTAGCTGATGTTCTTTCTCTTTTGGTTCTGTGATATAATTAGAAGTGATAACCATACTAACAAACACAAGTCGTTTTGCAATTAGAGTAGAATTTTTGTTTCAAAAAAAGTATTTGTGGGAACCAGCAGTTAGCGTAATGGCTATGTCGCGGGACTCCCACGTAGTCGACCGCGGTTCACGTCCTGGACCCGGTGGCTTAAAACTCACACCGGGCGCGTGTGCGTGCGTGCCCAAGATCCCGAGAGGAGAATGGAGGAGAAGGGATTGCGGCGTGACCATCCCCCCTGGGGGGTGATTTCTCGCTTTCTGTCTCTATGTCTCTCTCTGTCTGTCTGGCGAGCGCACGCGCCCTACAGTGAAAATCTCTCAAAAAAAAAAAAATTTGTGATGTGAATTTAAATTACAGAATAGAATTTGAAGTATCTAGTACGGATGAAATCCCAATTTAGTGTAAAATTACATGCCTTTGATACTCTTCTTTTCTAGAGTCTTACAAGAGACACTGCCACTGAAATAGCCATCAATGTGAAAGCACTATACAATGAAACAGAATCTTTGCTCGTTGGCAGAGTTCCTTTGGTAAGGAAAAGAGATGATTCATAATATGCTAATGATGCAGTAAGTCCAAGGGCTTTAGTTTCATTCAGGAACATGCATTCAGCAGATTGCCTTCTGGCCTCTATTCTCAGAACTTCCTTTTTACCTAGCTTTAGTCCTTCAGAAAGTATATATGTGTGGGGTGTGTGTGTGCGTATTTTAGTTTTTTGCCATAGGGCACATGTGCTCACCAGAGAGAGACAGAGAGAGGGTAAGTGAGAAATTACCTCCCGGGGGGAATGGCCATGCTGCAATCCTTTCTCCTTCATTTTCCTCTCAGGATGTTGGGCATGCACTCACACATGCCTGGTGTGATTTTCAAGCCAACAGGTCTAGGGTTTAAACTGTGGCTAGCCATTTGTGAAACTAGCACCTTAACCACTACACCACTTGTTAGCCCTATTCTTTTTTTTTTTTTTTTTTCATTTTAACAATTCTGTGTCTTGGTAGGTGGTGATCTAAAGCATTTCTTTTGACAGTAATTTTATTTCTTGCTGGGTAAATATACAGCTAAATCAAAGTGATATTAAAGTAATAGGAGGCACCAGCAGATGGTGTAGTGGCTACATTCCTGGGCTCCCATGTAGTCTACCGCAGTTTGAATCCCAGACCCAGTGGCTTAAACTCACACTGGGCACATATGTATGCAAGCCCTAGATCCCGAGAGGAGACTGGAGGAGAAGGGATTGCGGTGTGGCCATCCCCCTGGGAGTGATTTCTCACGTAGTTCTCATATGATGGGAGAGTCTTCACACAGCCTAGCTAACTATTAAGTGGTTGTGCTTAGAGTGTCTGTTTGGAGCACTCTTTTTTCCTGAGAGGAGGAATTTAAAGACTGCATGAAGTCCATTAGCCATCTCCAGAGTGAACTGGACCACAGCTTCCTTGGGATAAGAGGTGGATACTGCTATTAGACCATGAAGGAAAATTTAGGAAGAAACATTGGTTGTCTTTTTTGATCAAATCACTGGGGACTTCTCGGCTATATTTGGCACTATACTTGCTAGCCAGAATCATCTACCACTTTTCTAAAATAAGTCCTCTAGGAAAGCCAGTGAGCTATGAGCTTGTTAGAAAAATCCCAACATTTGTATTGAGGACTCTGTGTGTGTGTGTGTGTGTGTGTGTGTGTGTGTGTTATTTTAGAGGCATGCGAGACCTTTCTGACAAGGATTAGAAGCATAATTTGATCTCTATACCAAAAATATGGACTGAGTGCAACTTTGTTAATATTTATGAATTATTTTATGTTAATGTGGAAGGATCCCCCTTTACATTTCATTCCGTTGTTGTGAAATGTGGATGTTTGACTTAAAATGTGTACCAGTGAATTTTATCAAAACCTTTGACCATAGCAATATCACAAAGGGCTCCTGAAACCAATTCATCTTCCCTTGGTTGCATAGTTACTAACAAGGCCAGGACTAGAACCCAGTTAACCGCCTTCCAATTCTTTGCATAGCAGTGTTTATTTTACCTTTTTTGATTTATTGAACTTGTAAATGCAATAACTATTTGGTTGTCAGAAAAGTCATTACATATTTTTTCTATGCAAAAGTGCATCATGACTTTTTCAACAACCCAATACTTCGAATGGGTTAATGGGTATAATAAATGATCAATTAAATTCTCTTTAAAGTATCCATTCCCTATTTCCAGTTATAAGCTTTTTTTTATTTTTAAGTATTTATTTATTTATTCCATATAAGAGAGAGAGAGAGAGAAAGGGAGAGACATCAAGATAGACACCTCTAACAGAGTCTTCGTGTCATGATCCACACCCAGCTTCACCCAACATGAACAGGAAGACCTCAGGACACAATCCCAGGACTTTACCATGTGGGTCCAGCATCACAGGGTGATGTATTACTTCTGTGTCACTGGACTGGCCCCATCCTGATTTTCACAATAGCTTTTGATCACATTGTCTGACATTGATTTATTTAAAAATTCTTTTAATTTGCCAGAAGATTTTTTGTTCAGTTTTTTGTTTTGTTTTGTTTTGTTTTCATTCGCTATAGAGTGTTTGCACTCTCACTAGAGAGAGAAAGAGAGAAGGGGGAGCAAGTGAGAAGGCGCCCTCCCAGAGGGAATGGCCGTGCCACAGTTCCTTCTTCATTCTCTTCTTGGGATTTTGGGCATGCACCTGGCGTGTATTTTAAGCTGTGGGTGAGGATTCAAATCATGCAGTTGGCCATGTGTGATGCAGCTCCTTAACTATCATGTTACTGGCTGGCGCCAAAATAATATTTTTTTAAGTTGGTTAGAAACTTTTCATATTGTGACAGTCAGATGGCATAATGGTTACATTGTTGGACTCCCACATAGTCAGCCATGGTTCAAGTCCCAGACCCAGTGGCTTAAAAACTCATGCCAGGCATATGAGCATGCATGCCCAAAATCTCAAAAGGAGAATGGAGGAGAAGGGATTGGGGTATGGCCATCCCCCCTGGGGGGAGAGTGATTTCTCACTTTCTGCCTCTTGTCTCTCTCTGTCTCTCTGGTGAGCACACATGCCCTATAGCAAAACTCTCCCCCCACCACAAAAGAAACTTTTCATATAAAAAGAGCTGCACAGGCCAGCCTGTGGCATGGTTGTTAAGGAGGCTGGATCCCATATGACTGACTGCTAAAGTTTGAGTCCTGGACCCACTCTGGGCCCACATGTACACACGTGTGCCCAAAATCCCAAAAAAGGGGGAAAACAGAGGCAAAGGGATTGCAATGTGACCATTCTCACAGGGGGAGAAGGTGCTTTCTCACCCTCTACCTCTCTATGACAAGCATAAATGCCCTATGACAAAATTTTTTTTAGTATTTTTTTTAATGTGGCGAACTATGTAAATCAGAAGGCTTTTGGCATAAATAAATAGAATAATGAGAAGACTCACTAGTGAAAATAAATATAGGCAGATAGATGGGTAGAAGGAAAGAATGACAGAAGGAGGAAAGGAAGGGAAAGAAGAGGGGATTTATATGGAAGATTTACACAGCAAAAGCAAGAACTTCTCTGTGAAATGATTAAAGTAGCTAGTTACTGATATTATCATTGGGAAGTAAAAATTAGACTGAGTCTACCCAGATTTTTATAAATGAAGTCAACATAAAAGTCAACATATCAGCTGGCATCAGATAGTCTAGAGGTTAAGGCACTTGGATCCCACATGGCCCACTGCACAACTGAGCCCCAGACCCTGCAGCTTGAAAGCCTTTGCTGCATGTGCTTGTGTGCCCAAAATCCAGGAAGGAGGACAAGAGGAAGGAGAAGGGATTGCCTGTGATCATGCCTCATGGGCGAGGAGGGTACTCTCTCCTTTCTTCCTCTCTGTCTTTCTTGCTCTCTATCTCCAGCAAGCCCATGTGCCCTCTGGCAAATCTAAAAAAAAAAAAGAGAGAGAGAGAGAGAGAAGGTGTTCTTTATTAACCTTTACTTAAAAATAAAACCTAACGTAATAAAAGATGAGAATGCTCACTGTCAAGAGAAAATAAATACTGATTTTATTTGAGGTTGGCCACTGAGTCTTGTTTTGTTTTTTAACAGCAGTTGGAATCGCCACATGAAGAGCGGGTATCCAATGCCTTACACTCTGTGGAGGTGGAGTTACAGAAATTAACAGAGATTCCTTGGCTTTATTATATCTTACACCCAAACGAGGATGAGGTATGTCAAAGTCTTGTCTGTTTCTTTATGAATGTAACACTTAAGTATTTGGTAAAAAGATTAAAGGAAATTTTTGAATACGACTTTCAAATATTAGGCTGTTGGGAAAGTCATGCCATATTTTCATATGTTTTTCGATGCAAAACTGTATCATGACTTCCCTGACAACCCAGTATACTGGTCTTCAGTTAAGTTAGAAAGTCACTATTGTGAGCAAAGGTGCTTAATGGGAATTGGTACATTTTCAGTAATATGTTACATGATGAACTTTTTTTGAACAAGTTACCATTGTTCTACAGTGTTTAGCCTTTATACCTATTCCTGTGTTATCTCTGTTACTACAGTGGTTTTTTTTTTTTCCTCTTAATATCCTGAAATAGATCTTTTCTTGCTTGATTTGAACAGGAGCCTCCCATAGATTGCACCAAAAGAAATAGCAGAAGCACAGTATTCCGTATAGTGCCAAAGTTTAAAAAGGAAAAGGTCCAGAAGCAGAAGACAAGTTCACAGCCTGGTAGGTGGTCCACACTGGACGGGAAAGTATAACACAGTGGAAAAAAAAAAAAGTCTTCTTAAGGTTGTATTATCAAGGTGGTGAAAACTGTCCTAGCTAGGTAGTGGTGAGTGTTGTACAACCGTTTATGAATGTATTAAATGTCACTGAATTGTATACTTTAAAATGGTTAAAATAGTGAGGTTTACTGTAAAAGTCATGTCATATCTAGAATATGTCAGTAGCAGTGGGAATTTGCGATTAGGAATCAGACAAGAAAATGAGATGGTTGCTAGTTTGCTTCTAAAGTACTTTGCTTGGTGGGTGGCAACATGTCTGCTCAGAGGGTTCCTTATCTGTCTCGGCAGCATCCATGTATAACTTGCTTTTCTTCTTCACAGTTCCAAACCGTTTTGATAAATGGAACATAGAAACTTTCATTTACTCCTTTAACTTTCTAAATGTATTTTCCACCTAAAGTTGTATATTCTTCCTCCTGTTTTAAGGGCACCATTTCAGTCACAATGATACCTGCATTCTCAAGCACAGATTAAACCCTTTCTTGGCTACTTTTTTTTTTTAGTTTCCATTCCACCTTTCCGTAGAGCTTAAATTCACTGTTGTAGTGCTGAGGCACCTCTAAGTTCTGTGTCTGTGCTGATAGCTGCCTTTCATAATCAAAGCATTTGTAAGTTTTCTGAGTTTGCTATTTCATTTTCTAATAAGCTATATAAAACCTTGTTTGTGATATTCATAGAGCAGTTGTTGAAGGGCGTCTAAAAACCAGATACCTCAAATAAGTGGGCTTTTATTAAGCTAATCAATGTCAAATCAAACATACAAGAGAATGATTATTCCTGGTGAAAAGTAACATAATCCAGCTAATAGTGAGCAGTGCTGATGACAATTTTCCAGTGACACATTCATTGCTTCAGTTATCAATAGTAATGAATCAGTAAAGGCAACACTTGAGCCTAAGGATTTACGCAGAGAATTCTGTGTAAAATGGAGTACGCTGTATCAGATTTTAAATACCAGTTAGAATCTGTAGCTCATCTCAGAGTATAACTGTTTTTATACACGATTTTACAGAAGTCATCCGAGCTAAATTGGACCTTACCCCACTGATCCTAATGACATGAAATAAATGCTTTATGCATACTGTGAAGTGTGGTAACTTCAGTGAGGAAACTGGAAGAAAGCTAAAAGCATGGGTGCCTTGTAGCGAATGTCTCTGTGTAGTCAAACCCTTGTATTGACTGAAAACTGCATGAAAAAAATGGAACTATGATTTTGTTGAAACAACACCTTTAATCTTTCCTTTGCTAGCGCTGCCGCTGCACTCTGTTTTGCATCTTCTTTGGCCAACCTTTGCTTTGTAATGCATTGAGCATGTAGAAATTAAGGGGGTTTTGCTCTTAACTTTGGTAGTTCAGAAATGGGGCACAGAGGAAGTTGCTGCTTGGCTGGATCTGATCAATTTGGGAGAGTACAAAGAAATCTTCATCCGTCATGACATCAGAGGGGCTGAACTTTTGCATCTGGAAAGGCGAGATCTTAAGGTATTTCTTTTGTGCTACTCTTATGCTCTTGAAAATTTTCTTGCAAAACAGAATCCTTTCTCTGCCTCTCCTGTTATGTGCTCTTAGCTTGGCTGGTGTTATGCAGACATGCAGTAATCTAACATTCACTGTCCTGTGGTCTGAGTTCCATGTATGCTTTCTAAACAAGAATGTCAGCAATATTTTCCTGTCAAAATCATCCTCTATTATAGCTAAAGCTCAGCTAAAGTGCAGCATGAACTGTGTAATTTTTCTTTGCATCCATTGTAATGACTGTTCCTATCTAATATTTCCAAATGGGTCTTGTTTCTATCTGCTCATTTTATTGGATCAGCATGGAAAGGTGATAATTATTGCTGAAAATGACTTTAAAAAATAATCTAACATAAGGTTAACAACTAAATATTAATTTAAAATACCAATAACAAAGCCTTTCTTATATTGGAACAAGATGAGAGACATAGAGCAATGGCTACTTATAGTCTACAACATTGTATTGTGTTTCTTTTTTTGACTTTATTCATTTATTTATTTAATTTGACCAGAAAGGGACAGAGTGAGAGAACAAGAGAGAGGAAACTGAAAAACACCAGGTCCAGGACTCAAACTGTGGTCAGCCACATGGGAGTTCAGCACCCTTAACCACCACACCACCTGCCAGCCCCGATTGTATTGTGTTTCTAACGACCTTTCATAGGCCACATAAACAAATATATCAATAAATTCAACTTTCCATTCCATGATATATGGTTAAAATTCTAATTATTCTCAGAAATAAATTTACTTTTTTTTTTTCTTGTAAATAAAGCCAAAATTATGCTGGCTTCTGCTAGAGAGCAGCTGAGAACTTATGTGTCATCTACAACAGCAAAAGAAAATCATTCTCTTCTACTAAAAATCCTTTTGTGCTTCAGGTGGATATTAACAGTAGAAACAGTCTAGGTATCCTATTCTGAGCAAGGATTAGGAGTGGGATTTTTTTTTTTTTTTTTTAAGAGAGATTTTTGCTATACGTCACATGTGCTCGCCAGAAAGACAAAGACAGAAAGCGAGAAATCACCCCCTGGGTGGGGGGTGGGGGGTTGGACACGCTGCAATCCCTTCTCCTCCATTCTCCTCTCATGATCTTGGGCACACACGCACACGCGTCCGGCGTGAGTTTAAGCCTATCCGGTCCGAGACTTGAACCGCGGTCAACTACATGGGAGTCCAGTGACATAGCCATTACACCAACTGCTGGTCCCAGGCATAGGTTTTTATCATGTTATATTTTCTTACCATTTTATGATTGCAGTAAGGACCATTTGTTGGAGTTACTCCTTTTCTATAAACCAAGCTCTAAAATGCTCAGAATTATGAGGTAGCGCATTCCTGACAAGTTCTTGCGCCTTCATCTGCAGAGCTCTTTGACAGGTTATAGGTAGTGTAAAGCATGTATCTTTATGAAGCAGAGTCATGCAGAGTTTTAGCATGTCAGAAGGTGAACACTACTTATACCTAGACAGTTTTAGCCAGAATAATAATAAAATAAAATAATGGATTAATTAGTTGCCTTGGTTGAGAATTGTAAGCCTGGAATATAACAAAATATACGGTGTTAGAATTCTTAAAGCAAAGGTTGACATTGAGTACACACACACACACACACACACACAAAAAAAAAAAAAATCAATATAGGGGCTCTTTATATCCAACACCCTGTGTAGCTTTTGATATCCTTGGCAGGCAGCATAATTTATTTGGTAACTACTGATGAGTGTATTTTGCCACTTCTCTAGGTGGTGTCTGCCCTCTAGGAGATTGTATTTGCCATGAATATGCATGTATTCAAGGAAAAGGTTGTGTGTGTGTTTGTGTAAACATAATGCATAAATATTTTTATGTGTGTGTTTTATAAATACATATGGATAGACACACATATTAAATGAAGCAAATATTTGCAAAATGAAAATACAAAGCTCATAAATATTTATATATAGAGAGAGAGAAAGAGAGTCTTTAAAAAGTTCACGGAAGATGTATATATGAAAAAACTGTTTGAATTTCAAGACCTTTTTCTTTTTTTAAAAGAGATTTTTGCTACAGGGTGCTTGCACTTACCTGAGACACAGAGAGAGAGAAAGTAAGGAATCTCCCCCTGGTGTGTGGAGGGGTGGCCATGTTGCAGTCCGTTCTCTTTCATTCTGCTCTCAGGATTTTGGACACACACACACGTGCTTGGCATGAGTTTAAGCTGCCAGGTCGGGACTTGAAATGTGGTCAACCATGTGGGAATCCAGCACCTTAACCACTGCACTGCCTGTGGCCCCTTCAAAATATTTTTGCATTAAAATAAATTCGCACTTTGGACCGGCAAGTGGCATGGTGGTTGCTGGACTCTCACATAGCCAACTACTGTTCAAGTCCTGAACCTGGCAGCTTACTCTCTCACTCTCACTCTCTCTCTCTGTCTCTCACCAAAGTGAAGAATAGTAATAATAAATAAAACAAAATAAATAATTTTTTTAAAAGGATTAAATATTTTAAAAAATAAATTAACTAATATATACATTCATACGTTAATTCTGTTTTTCCACCAACATTTTGAAATACCCTTGTACTAGGCAAAGTTAGTGATAAAATCAGCTATGAAAAAGAGTAAGATTATGAAGGAGATGGTTAAAATTATTTTAGTAAGGGGCCAGTAGATGGTGTAGTGGTTACATCGCTGGGCTCCCACATGGCCGACCGAGGTTCCAATTTCAGACCTGGTGACTACTGGGCATGTGTTCATGCATGCCTGAGATCCTGGGAGGAGAATGGAGGAGAAGGGATCGAGGCACAGCCATCCCCCTTCAGGAATGATTTCTCATTTTTCCCTCTTCTGTCTTCTCTCTGTCTAGTGAGTGTACAAACCCTAAGGTAAAAATCTCTACCAAAATAAAAAATTATTTTAGTAAGTTTTCTCTTTAGTTTTTCATAGGCCTTTTAGATTCTATTTTGTTTTTATTTTTAATACAAATTATATTCCCTCCCTTAAAACTTTTTCTTTTAAAAATGTATATTGACCTTTTTTAAAAAATTCTTTTGATTCTTAAACAGGGTATGAGAGGATGGAAAAAGGGAACTTTTATAGGAAGAGCTTCTATCACACAAAACCACAAACCTGGAGCATGCGCTCCCCTTGTTCTCTGTGGTTATAGTTGTCAGTGGAGCAGACTCCGCAGAGGGAAGTCTCTAAGTGTCGGTAAACGACCACATACTCCCGAGATGATCTCATCTGTTTCCACTGTTTCAGATACTATTTATGAATGTACCAGTGGCTCCAGCCCTGCCTGGCCTCATTTGTGAGCTTTAGGATTGTGTCAACAACTACTTCCATCTTAACATGTCCAAAACCAAACGTGATCTTCTATCCCACTCCTATTCTGCTCCTTTACCAGTGCTGTGCGTTTTAGTAAATCACGCCTGCGGCCCTCCAGGTACTCAAAACAAAGAAACCCAAAGTTGTGTAACCTACCTTCTTGTTTTTCATCCATCTCCCTCTCATCCATTAAGCCCATAACCAAGTCGTGTTGACTAATCTTCACCCATTTCTCTTTTACCTCCTGCGTATGACCCTACTCCAGTTGCTGTCCCATCTTACTTATGTAAGGTCAGTGGCTTCCAAACTGGTCTTTCCACTGTTGCCTCTCCAGTCCATTTTCCACATTGCAACCAGAGTGATATTTTAACATGATTAACCAAGTACGCCATGTATCTTGCTTAAAGCCTTTCAGTGGCTTCCCATTTTTATAAAAACAGATTCACATCTTTATGGAGACCTAACGGTTGTGCCTAATTGTTGAGCTTTGTCTGGCTTCTTCATTCACTCTGGCCTTATTTCAGTTGCTTAAAAATATTAAAACTTTTTTAAAAAGTTTATTTCTTCCTTGAAAGAAACAGAGAGAGAGGCATCCCTCCCAACAGGGTCCCTGCACCAAAGTCTACTTCCAGCCTTAGCTGCCCCAGATTAGGGGGAACATGAACGTGCCCCCAGTGTGCTCAGAAAGGCCCTGGATCAGAAACCCAGGACCATGCCCGTGTGGGCCTGGTTGCATTACCCTTGCACCACCTCTTGACCCCTTAAATCCTAAACTTTTCTCACCAGAGGTGTGTGTCCTCTTTGGTTATGCTTCTTCCCACACCCTTCACCTGGTTAACAGTTGTTCAGAACTTAGCTTAACTTTTTTTTCACCGAAACAACATAAAATTGGGAAAGGAAAAATATTTCTAAAGTGTGTTAGCATTTAAAATAAACTAACTAGGTTATTTCCCCTTTGGGAACATAGTAGAAGTGACGGACGCCAAAGACATGGTAAAGACATTTGGGGGTTTTTCAGTTGTTTATTTTTATTTATTGATTGATTTACTTACTTACTTATTTATTTTCTATCTGGAAAGTTGTATACATGTGGCTGGATGGATAACTACATATCTACACAGTGTGCTTTGGTAAAATGAGGCCAATTCATCCAAAGAAAGGAAAAGTCAATAAAAAGAAATACAATGAAAATAAATACATAATAATAGGTGGTAAAACGTACGAGACATAATAAAAAGAATAAAGCTATAACTAATGTCATGTCATAACTATCACAGCCTAAAGCCTGGAAGACATAAAAATATTGAATTCAAATGAAGTAAGGAAACTATGGCTAACAAGTGTGTGTTGATCTATGAAAAACATTTATCTCCTACCTCCCCAAAGAAATTTTTATTCTTGAGAACACAATATGTATATAACGTAAAATATTTGATACTTAAGCATAGTTTGTAAAAAGATACCTATAGTATCACAAAGTATAAAGAATGTTTAAAATATTTCATTTTAATACAAGAATCCAAATGTGATTGTAAATGCATTAACATTCACAATTTGGTAGCAGGCACTGGTATCTTCCTCTAGGATCTGGTCTTGCTTTTAAGTCAGATACTATAGCACATACTCAGAAAATGTATAGTTGCTTTAAAATTAATTTTGGATGGCTTTGTGTCATGTGAGGAAATATTTTTCCGAGTTGATTAAATAACATAAAAATGTTATCCTGAAATTCTCTCAAGCTTGAAAATGGTCATTGGGTATGGAAAAAATACATTGCAGAAGAATTCAAAGTCATCATTTCTGCTATAGAACTCAAACAGTATAAGGGGGAGAGAGAGTGTTTGATTAGTTTACAAAACAGGATGGCTATTTGGAATCTGACTTCTTGAATAAGTAATCTTGTGATGTCTCATGAAATCTCTTTTTTTTAAGGCTGTTTTCAAAGTCAGCCCTAATAATATTCAAGTATTTCGAACCCTGTTTTGTGTAGACAAGGTTGTTTGACTTTACATGTTAGCAAACTGATACCCATGACACTAAAAGAAACCGTAAAGTCTGGAGGCCTTAACTCTTTATTTTCTAGCTTTTCAGATATTGAATATTATGTCTGTTTTGGATGAGTTTTATTCATTCCTGCAACAAATACTTGCCATGTGCTTCCTACACACACTTTCCCATCATCTCCATTTCTGAAGGTTCAATATGGAATTCTTGGTACTTATAAAGACAATTCCTTAAGAAATAGGAAGAATAATCCTGAGGGAAGGGACCAATAATGTTTTGAGGGACAGTACCAACCAATCTACCTATGTCGAAGTAATTCTTCACACATATACATGACAAAGTATAAAGACTACTTGAACTAATATTCTATTCAAATCCAAGATTCCTAATACAATTACAAACTTACATCCCAGATTTACATAGTGAGCACTAAGTTTTCCTCTGAGATTAGGCCTCTCTCTTTTTATTTTTTTTTAATTTATTATTATTATTTTAGTTTGTTAAAGAGACAGAGAGAGGGAAGATGAGAAAGCCCTTCCCCTCTCCCCCCCATGAAAGGTGGTCACTCTGCAATCCTTTCTCCTCCATCTTCCTCTTGGGATTTTAAACACACTTGTACATGTGCCCAGTCTGTTTCTCACGCTGCAGCATCCAAGAATCAAACTGCACAGCTGGCCATGTGGGATCCAACTGCCTTAACCACCATGACACCAGTCAGCCCAGGCCTCACTTGTAAATGTGATGCTTTTGCACAAGAAAGAATTGGCACTTATATAATTGATGATAGTGTCAGAATTAAGAGTTTGCGTAGGGGAGAGGCCCTGTGGCATCAGATCTTACATGGCCAACTGCCCCATTCAAATCCTGGCCCTGGTAGCTTGAAAAGCATGTCAAGTTCGTGTGTGTGCTCAGCATCTCGACAGGATGGAGAAAAGGAGGAAAAGGATTGGGGTATGACCACACTCCATTCAGGGTTCTTTCTTCCTTTTTTTCTCCCTCTCTCTGTCTCTCTTTTTCTTTGACGAGTGCATATACCCTCTGGCAATTTAAAAAAAACATTTTTAAAAAGGAGTCATGTAGGATGTGGGTTTTGTTTTTTCTTTTTTTGGATCAGTTAGTAATTTTTCAGTATCAGGTTATTTTTGTTTTATTAATTTTTCTGGCTTTTACTTTCTGCATTTTTAAATATAAAGTAGAGTAGATGAACTGGATGCTATCTTGCTGTTTAAATATTTAATTATCATTTTTCTTTTATCAATAATCTTCTTTCTCTCCCTTCATTCCTTTGTACTTTCCTTTCTTTTCCTCCCTTTTGTTCCTTCTTTTCCTGCTTTGTCTCCTTCTTCCTCTTCCTCCTTCCCTTGCCCCCTTCCTCCTTTCCCCTTCTTCTTTCTCTTTCTTTCTACCTTTTTATGCTTTTGTTTTTTAGGACCTGGGGATTCCGAAAGTGGGCCATGTGAAGCGAATTCTCCAGGGAATTAAAGAGCTTGAAAAGAGCACTCCCCAGTCTGAGGTGTGATCCTATTGGTGCTATTCCTCAGAAGAGACGTAATTGCTACTTAATACAAAGTCCTTGGAAGTGATTGGCTGTTACGTAGTTCACTGCATAGATAAGTAAGCACCGCTGAAGTACCTCTATGGCTTGACATTTGGCTGTGGGTGAAAATTTTGATTTGAGGTATTAGAAAATATTTTTGTGCCAAAAAGACATTCCGCAAAGCCATTTTCTTATTGTGCAAACCTGACATGCTCAAATATGTTCACAATATGAAAAAGGTAGCAGAAATTTGAGAGGATTGCATTGTCTAAAAGGAATTACAAAATGTTTAGTTTTCTTAGAGCTGATTGATGGAATATTTTTATTGTGCAACTGCGTAAATACGTAGCTGAAACTTCTTAGGTTTTATTATTGGAGGCATTGACTTGTCTTTGAATCTCACTGGTTAGGAGACTAAGTTGTAAATTAAGTTGTGTTTTGAATGTTAGATTGGTATTACCTCAGGTTCCTAGAGCTCAGTGGTCAAAGAATACAGTCAAAACCTGTCAACTATGAATGAATGCAAATCTTAATGCACGATGTTCCTGCCTGAGTTGTCTCTTTTTCTTGCATGTCACATTTAATATTGTAACACTTTAATAATTTTAATGTCAGTTTTAATGGAATTTAATTTATTACTACCAAAGTACCTTATTGTTGGCTAAAGGCACTGCACTTTTTTTTTAATGTGGAATTTTTCATAAATAATCTATACTTAAGACTTTGTGAACATGTGTCTGGGCATAATCAACACATTATATACACCATATGCAAATCAGTTTTATTTCAACTTATCATTAACAGCGGGTGTACACACTAAGAAAATTCTCTGGGTTTCATTAAATTATATGCTCCATTGCCTAAAGAAATTTGTCAGCTTTCCAAACTCACATTTTGTTCCTATTTTTAACTTCAATGTAATAATTATTTAATATTCTGTTTGAATTTATAATATAGTAGACTGTTGACATCCAGGAATTCTCCAGTTTCAACTGAGATTTGTATAGTCACCCAGACTCACCCCTTAGTTATAGTGACTTCTGATGTGAACTTCCCAACAGAAGAAATTTAATTTTTTTTCTAAAGGTCTTTACACTATTATTATCTCTCTGAATTCTTATGTCAGCTAGATATAATTTTCTTTTTTAAAAACTATTGCACATCAGTGTAGCTCATGAGAAGTCAATATTAAAATTATTAAATCTTTAATCATTGAAAACCAAAGGTATTTATATAAAAAAGTCACAGAAATATCCTTAAATAACCTATCTTTGGCCAATATAGACCAAAAAGTTAATTATGATATTTTTTAATTGTTCTGTATAAGAAGTAAACAGGGTACTGACCCAATGGTGACAATTTTTATAAAGTAGCCTGTTAGGTGCTCAATAAATATATATACACTTATATATACATATACATGTATATACACACGCATACACATATACATATATATGTATATACACATTTATGTTTATGTATATATAATCTTGGGGTATATAATCACTGATATTTTCTAGTCGGTTAATTTCCCAATGTTTAAAAACAAATATTGATAGGAAAGCATTTAAAATTAGTCAGAGGTATAATTATCTCAAAGGTGTTTTCTATTTGACATTTATTCTACTTTGGGCATTTAAATACTAGTGAAATCACAAAATTTGGATATATTAAGAATAACTAAATCTGATGGGTTCCTGACCAAGTATGTTTGACTATATATTTTACCTAAGTTGTTGATAAATGGAAACTTTCTAAAGGGAATTATATCAAGTCGTTTAAAAAAATAATAAGCTATGCGCTTAATTTGAACTTTATTTGCACTTATGAAGTGAAAGGTCTCCTCTAGTCCCTTTGACAGCTACTCACACACACACACACACACACACACACACACACACACACGCATGCACACACACGGTGTCTTATTCTTCAAAGTGCTTTCCTATGAAACCCACATAGGTGGTGTCACATTCCCATAATTGCTCCCAAGATCACAGATCCCTATCCAGCTCTACCAAAAAAGAAATGGTGGGAGACAAAGAAGAGGGGAAACTCTAGAATAAAGAATGTATTAATACGGTAGAGTAGTGGTTAAGGCATTGGACTCCTACATGGCTGACCAGGTGTTCGAGTCTCAGACCTGGTGGTTTGCTTTCTCGCTTATTCACTTTCTCTCTCTCACTGTCTCTCTCTGGTGAGCTCACATGCCCTGTAGCAAATTAAATACTACTACTAATAGTTACTAATAAAATTAAGTAATTCTGTAAAAATGTTTTTAAAAGAATATATTAATACAAAAATCATTATTGATTTTCATACCCCTAAAATACCCCTTTGCTTATAGAAAAGATTCTCAAGCTATTATGTTTTCTGAACTGGAGAGTCTGATGTAATTTTTTTGTTTAATCATCTTTTCAGTATTAGGTAACATCTTTTTATGACTTTCCCAGTGGCCTAACAGATAAGCTTTAAAATCTCAGTTAATGGACTCCTTAATTAGCTGGAATTTTCCTGCAAATGGCTTTTGGATGAGAGGAAATCCTTTAAAATGACCATTTGGATGTCTTGTTGTCCTTGTTAAATGAGAGCAGTTTTCCTGGAAACTTTGTTTACATATGGCTGCTTAGGTCCCAAATCACATCACTTTTGCCCTCAGAGCTTCCTAAAGCTCCTGTGGACATCATAAGACACCAGTTTCTTATAGTAGATTGGGATTACAAAAAAAAAAAAAGTAGGAAGAGCTTCTCTGAGGGATGGGAGCCCTGCTGCGCTGAATGCAGGTGAGGCATCTGTGCTTTGATATGTGCATAAACTGAGGTGAGAAGTTCATGCCCACACCTGATGCCCACTGTAATTGCCACCTCTCCTCCCAGATAGGCTCTCCCACATCTGCATGATTGAGTTCAGCTGGGGAGACTCACAGCCAACATCTACTTCCTTTCACTGTCATTTTCCTGAGAAGAACTTGCACTTAAAGAAGGAAAGAGACAGAGTGATGCCTAAGAAAAATTCTGGAGTACTCAATATTTCTTCTGGTGTCTTTCCACCTCCCCTTCTGCGTGTCTTTCCTACTTACTAGCTTTCCATTGTTCCGATACATTGATGGGTGCTCACATTCTCACTGGCACCTGCTGTCCCTTCCCGTCAATTGCCCCACTGCAGAGTGACCTTTTCATCTCTCCCCACCTGAAGCACACATTGCAAGTCATTTAGCTAAATGCTAGGAAGAAATCAACTTAAAGAAATTTGTTTTACAGTCTGCTATTTTATAAAAGGCTACTTGTCAGAGAATCTAAGAGAATTGATGGATTCGATAATTTGGGGACTATGATCTATATTGCTCTGGCTGAGAAGAGGTGACCTGTGAATGTCTAGATCTATGCTGTTCAATGTTATAGTCACTAGTCACACAGGGCTGGGTAGATTCAAACTTGGTATAATTAGAGATTGTTCCCCAGTTGCACGAGCTATGTTTCAAGTACTCAGCGACTGTCACGGAGAGCACAGTGTAGAACATTTACATCACTGCAAAAATTCTACTAGACAGCACTGATCTGGATCATTGCTACTCAGGATGTGGCCCACCGGCCAGTAGCCTCATTATCACCTGGGAGCTTACAGAAATGCAGAATTGCAGGTTTACTCTGGATCTGCTGGCTCAAAATCTTCCTTTTAACAACATTCTGCAGGTAATTAGCGTGACTTAGAGCCACTGTTTGTTTGTTTGGATTTTTTTTTTAGAGGTTTTTGCTATAGGGTGCCAGACAGAGAGAGACAGACAGAAAGCAAGATATCACACACACACACACACACACACACACACACACACACACACAGGGGGAATGGCCACGCCGCAATCCCTTCTCCTTCGTTCTCCTCTCGGGATCTTGGGCACGCACGCACATGCACCCAGCGTGAGTTTTAAGCCACTGGGTCCGGGACGCAAACCGCGGTCAACTACGTGGGAGTCCAGTGACATAGCCATTACGCTAACTGCTGGTCCCACTTAGAGCCACTGTTATCCCTCCTATTTATTAGGGATGAGAGAACCAAGGTCTTCAGAGGGTTCCCAGATTTAGCTTGTTCTTCAGCCCAGTGTTTCCTACCCATTCTCCAACTAATTCCAGAAATGAAGTGAAACTCATTTCTCACCATAGCTATGGATTCTTCCCTATCTCTCAGTATTTATTCCTAATTCTGGTCCTAGGTAGTGAGCCCCACCTACCCAGTGTATTTTGATAGCTAAGCTGGAACACAGATTGGCTGACCAACATCGCTGGCCTCTATCCAGCCTTTCACTCCACATCTAGCTTACTAACAGTCCATGTTTGCTCAGTTTATTGCTCATGTGGCGTGTTCATTGTTCACAATTTAAGAAACAGGGAACATTTCAGAAGAATATGTACTGAGATAAGTAAGAACAGGTCAGTTTCCTACAACTTGTACATTTTCATTTTTTTTTATCAGTAGATTACCTGTTGATATAGTTCATGCTTGAGGACACACAGCAGCACACACACTATTAAACAAATCGGTAGGTATGCTAAAATGAAAAAGTATTAAAAAAATAAGTAACCAAAATGATTACAAATAAAGTGAATGTGTCATTTAAGCTCTGAAAGAGTACTTAGATTTTTTTCTTATGCTAGCTTACCTTTTCACATGGTTAATAACTTCTTAAAATAGTCCCTGAAAACTAATACATCATACTTTTGATTCCAGAAATATAAGTTACTTAGTTCTGTAATAAGATCTTTCCCAATGACTTATTGTCAGAAATGTTTTACTTAATAATTTTTAATACTGTTAAATCAATCAAAATATAACTGCTTAGAGTTGTTTTTTTTTTAACTAATTTTTATGAATGAAAGGGCAGCAGGACAACCCTGTTGCCTAGTGGTTAAGGTGACTGGATCCCCCAAATCCAAAATTCAGACAGGATAGAAAAGTGGAAGAAGAGGGCTTGTGGTATGACCATACACCATTGAGGGGTGCTTTCTCCCTGTCTCTGTCTCTGTCTCTGGAAAACACACATGCCCTCTGGCAATTTTTTTTTTCCTAAATGAATAAGAGGGCACTCTTAGTTTTCACAGAAGTTATTCTTTAACAGGAATCAGGGAAGGAAATATTGGTGCAGAGCCGTGACTTAGGGAATTACAGGGGTTACCACTATACATAACTTCCAAAGTAATCATCTATTGCCTGTACCAGGCTGACAACAGAGTAGACTTTCATGTTCTTCATATATTCATTCTTCAAGGATTTAGCTTTTAATTGAACTGTAAAAACAGTTCGTCTCAACCTTGACATTTACTATTTCTTCTGTTTCTCCCAACACCCATCCCAATGAACTCATCCTACCTACATCTTTCTGACATAAGTTGAATGAGATCATAGGTTTAGGGTTTAAGAATATAAATGGCAGCTTTAAAACACCAAGTTCTTTAAAAGCTGAAGAGTGGAAAGTCCTCGAATAATAACTGTTGGCCAATGGAATGGCCTCCAGAGAGGTTCCCACAGTGCTTGGCTTGCTTCTCCTCTCGCTGCCCGCCCCGATGGGTTGGAGTCTGGGTCCTGTTTGTCTCCCTGACTGACTTCTGTGCCAGAGGCCCTGCTTCAGACTAGGAACAGGCTGCCTCCGCAGTAGGCTGTCTCCCTACAGAAACGACCAGACTTTTCAAAGGCCATGATTACTGGATTTTATAATATGTAAAGCGTTAATTTTTTCTTGTCTTTATCATACTTTCTCTTGACGACTTTTTCCAAGTTATGTCTGGAGGCATTTATATTAGAAGAAAAAACTATAAACATTTATCATTATAGAGAACAGAGAGATTCAAGACAGCTGGACTGTACCTGTATAATTCTTTCTGTTATTTTCAGAGTTTAACAGAGTATCTGAGATGGCATTAAACTCAGTAATAATGTTGAAGACAAATCCCCCATCACATAATAAACATGACTAGATCAACTCCCTTTGTGTAACAAAGATACCTATTTACATTATTTATGTACTCTCTTAATTTTCTGTGCACTTTCAAATTATAGTTGGAAAAATTAAAACCAAGCCACTACTTAAAAATTCATAAAAACTCCATGTAAAATATTTCCTTTTGAAAAGCTATAGGTTATTATTTTATAGGAAATTTTAAAATAATCTAGGTATTTCATAGGACTTCCATATCAAGAGTAAATGAACCAAACCCAAAGGAACATAGGATTACTTTTAAATGCATTAAAATGAAGGCGTTTCATACTCAGTTGATAATGTCATTAAAATAGCGCAATGCAGTTGGATATACAAGCTAAAAGAGAAAAAGAATACATTTTGTGACCCTTAATATTTGATGACACTATTGTTCCCCACATCTTAGCTATATCTATTTCTATATTCTAAGAGTTAGGCTAAGTAGCTAAACATTTTTTACAGTTCTGG